TCTATCTATCTATCTCTCTCTCTATCTATCTATCTATCTATCTCTCTCTCTCTCTATCTATCCATCTATCTATCTATATCTCTATCTATATCTCTATCTATCTATCTCTCTCTCTATCTATCTCTCTCTATCTATCCATCTATCTATCTATCTATATCTCTATCTATCTCTCATCTCTCTATCTATCTATCTCTCTATCTATCTATCTATCTATCTATCCATCTATCTATCTATCTCTCTCTCTCTATCTATATCTCTATCTATCCATCTATCTATATCTCTCTCTATCTATCTATCTCTCTATCTATCTATCTATCTATATCTCTATCTATATCTCTATCTATCTATCTATCTCTCTCTCTATCTATCTATCTATCCATCTATCTATATCTCTATCTATATATCTATCTATCTATCCATCTCTCTCTCTATCTATATCTCTATCTATCCATCTATCTATATCTCTCTCTATCTATATATCTCTCTATCTATCTATCTATCTCTATCTATCTATCTATATACATCTCTATCTATCTATTTATACATCTCTATCTATCTATATATCTCTCTATCTATCTATATATCTCTCTATCTATCTCTATATATCTATATATAGTAGTGTAACAATCATGGATTCACTAACGATTCATCCATGCCTTGATTTGGAAGTGATCTGACAACAGATTTCATTCAAGATCATTTTGTCGATATAACATTATCTAAGTTTTTACAAATTTCAACCTTAACATAAACTATGCTTTTTTATTTTATTTGTGTTGCTCAAGAGTAACTGGGCTGCAAATGTAAAATAATTCATATTTATTGAATACAAATATCAAAAACAAGGCCGTCCCGCACACTGACAGTGATCAGAGAGCGGGGAGCAGGATGCTTCTCCAAAATGTCACACTTGTTGGATTATCTATCCATCTATCTATCTATCTGCAGAGAAGGAGAGTAATGTAAGGGAAGAGTCAAGACAGAAGGGGCGGGAGTAAAGGGGGAGAGGGCGAGGGGAATAAATCCTCACTGCTGCAGTATTAATTCTTAATTGGAAAGAGATGCTGTTCTTCAGCGTAGCAACTCTGCTTCATTTAGCTTACATGAAGAGACCCAGGGCAGAGGGATATGTAGCTATTTCATATCACTCAGCAGAAAAATCAGCAGAACAGAGAAGGAGGTGGAGAAAGCAACGACTATACCCTCCTTGAAATAACCCAACTCATCATAAAACACTCACATAAACACACACACACACCTAGATTTATAGACCCCTTTCCTAATTGGATCACCTCAGATCTCCAGTTGTGATTGGCCAGAAATCCCTCACTGTGTGCCCCGAAGATGAGAGGACCATCTGGCCTTCTCCTCCCTCCAGAGCAGAGCCTGGAGGTGGGCCCAGATAACTGTAGTCCCAAGTTAGTGCCAGCTGTACTTAACAGCAACGGGTTAAAGGTTGATAAATAAGAGCTAAGCTTGGGCTTGATTAAAATCGAGTCGCCTTTAGTAGGAATTTACCGTTAAACCACACCTTTCTTCTTCCTTACAACATACAACTGTACAACTGAACATGCTGTGAGATAATACAACACTGTTGCTATTCTAAGGGGGTAGCAAGAGACAAGTGTTTCGTAAAATAAAGAAACTTGAAAACCTGCATGGAAAAATCTAGTACACAGAGAGCAGCAGGGGGGAGGCTGAAAAAAGCTATTTGTAGTTTCAAAACAACTGCGCACACTTAATGTTTCCTTTCGAGTAAGAGTCTCTGAATGCTTTAACCAATAAAACCCCTGCATGACCTGACTTACATAGAACTTCACTGACATTACTTTGAAGTACAAATACAAGTGAAAACCTCTCTCCATCCTTTCAATAACAGCTTAAATATGAGTATATGATTAATGTTGCATTAAATAAACATCATCTGATTTTCTGCAATATGCCATAAAATATATAGCTATTATGGTTCACATTATAAAAATGTAAGGCTAAAGGTCATAAAAGAGAGGCTAAAATATAGTTTTAATACAAAATGTTATCTGATATAAAGGCCAACTTGATTATCAAAAAAACATTAATGAGGACTTATGTGTAACTGAAACACTTAAATGTGATTGTCCATATATAAATATAGCCATGTAAATTATCAGAATAGACATATATTCCCATGTTACACTTTGGACTACACCTTCCACAGAACTGAGCATCCGAACCCAGTTTTACATTGATGAGATCGCCAACACTGTAACATTATATAAGAGCAGAAAATCAAACAGTATCACTTAAGTATCTCTTAAACCACAGCTAAATGGACAAGCCCAAAGTTGTCTCCCATCCCCACCAAGAAAGCCCGGTATCTTTTCCATCAGGGAGAGCCCATCACTTACGTGTATTGCTGAGGGAATGTGAGACCCGCTGCTCCAGGCCACGACGCGCTGAAAATCAAGATAATCTGGATAGATACCAAGCAGACGATGCTGCAAGACCCTTTGCCTATCGCCATTTTCCATTAACAATTCTCGTCACGGGGTTTCTGTGCGTGAATGAAGCTCTCCGGGGCATATAGATATCAGGATAGTGTGTCCGGCGCAGCTTCACTTCATATCGGTGTGTGTTGTCAAGTGGACGCGGAGGAGGAGGCAGGCATTGGCCGCGGAGGCATCGCGGTCGGTGGGAGATACACGCAGCTGCCAAGACACTGCAGAGTCTCTCCTGCTCTATGAGGTGTGACTTGTGCCAAAGAACAGATAACTAAACTGACTGAGCGGAGAACTAACGTCTCAACGTGCGCCAACGCCTGAAGCCCCCAGGAAGTGCGCCGGACTCAGATGAAAATATTCGTGGTGGCCAAACGGCAGTACTACACTTCCGTTTGGTTGCCAGGCCCGGAAACACTTTTTCCCATTGACTTACATGGGGAAATAGTGGTCTGTAAATCGTTGGATAATTTTTTTTAAACTAAATAAACTACCCAGTATGAACACTTGTATAGCCCTTATTAAAAACATTCGTTCCTCAAGCTGTAAACATTTGCTAATAACGTTATTCTGAGAGTTATTTCCCTCTGCATTATGAACGCGCATCTAACCCACGGGACCGCGCCGCCCGGCACGTTCATGTGATTTGACGTGTTCAGTACTACTATGGTTTTACCTTTACCCATGGATGCACAATAAGAACGGACCCATGTCGCCTTACTGCCAGCCCACGGAGCTGTAATAATGGATATATTGCACATGTTTGCTGTAATTCATTTGTAAAATATTATACTACATGGGCTGCATGATGTAAATCTTGTATTAAATAAAGTTAATATTACCGACGTAGATCAACGTTCCTGTAGCTTCTTATTGCACTTGCAATATACCATTAAAGGAGTTGAAGGGATAAGCCAGAGTTTACAACCTTTGCATGTGGGCACAACACGTTTTGACCCAGATTAATTAGCTATACCATATGATATCGCCCGAGGAAGTCGTCATACTTATACATATAAAAATTAAGATATATGTGTCAAAGCTCTAATCAAATTAACAGTTGTATTAATTATACTTGTATATTTAAGCAATAGCTCACGACAGGCCGTGGTATATGCTCATTATATCACAGCTGAGGGGCGTGGTTCGGCCCGACGCGAAGCGGAGGAACATATATGTTGATATATTACCAAGTGGTTTCATGTACAACCCACAAGAGTATCTTAAGCTCTGTTCCTTGGATATCACTAGATCCTGTTACATCAGCGTAATATAAAAGTACATAACGATTGATGTGGACATTATTATAATTACTAATGCTCGGATGTTACACTAGTTAGCGGCTAACTGCCGCAGCCGCCTCGTTATTCGTATTGTATAGTATATAAGACTGGTGTCTAGCAGCGCTCTCTCTCTCTCTCTTTCTTTCTCTCTCTCTCTTTCTCTCTCTCTCTCTCTCTCTCTCTCTCTCTCTCTCTCTCTCGGGAACAGCTGATCGCTGCAGCTGTCAGAGCTGTCCCTCCCTCCCTCAAGGTGTGTGTGGGTGTGTCTGTGTCTGTGTCGGTTTGTCTCATTCAATGTCCCTCAGGTTGTGGCATGTTTCGATTGCCAGTTTGTGGCTTGTATGTCTTGTGAACGCAACGCTGGCATAATATGATGTGGCCTGCTGACATGGCCTCTAATAAACACACAGGACTAAAATAATACGTGTTTAATTCAGCCCAGATGCAGTGACTGCAGGCCAAATCCATTAATGCAGCATATATTGAGGGCGCAGTTAGAACCACGCATCTGTCAGACTAGCGAATAGGCACATTTGAATTTCAGGAGAATAATGAAGATGTGATTGGTTGTTCCACTCTCCGTTTCTCACGAGACCAGCGCGCTGCTGTTTACATTAGTGTGGACTGGACCGACTGAAACTGACGGCAATGGTGTGTGTGTGTGTGTGTGTGTGTGTGTGTAACACAAACATAATAAATCATTGGATAGTGTTTCTCAAATGAAGGGGGAAAATAATGAAATAAAGTAATTTATTAAGACTCAGTGCGAGTTATTACTTTCTTCCAAATTTACTTGGCATTCTTCAAAAATACACAGACATTGCAGCACATCGTTTCACGTCTTAGTACAGCCTTTCTCAGCAGTACAGTAATGTGTTGGCGAACCTTGGTTTCCTCCTGACAGCTCACTTAAAGGTATACTCCCCCTTGTGGCCAAAGGGGGACACAACTCTTGTCTTCAGATGTATGCTTGAGTGCAGCAAAATGTAGCACAGTGACTATTTTGTCAACTAAACATAAAACAATACATATTTTAGTAAACAGGACATTACAATCTCCGCACATTAACTCTATATTTGCCTCTGCCATGGTGCCAAAATGAAACGAAATAAAATAAACAATATAGGGGTTGCTTCTTCTCTGAACTTCTATGTATACTGCTCACCCTCCATATAAAATAAACCATGAACAAATAGATAAAGTGTTCACTGCAGCGATCTATTTCACACACAAAACTATGAGAACTTGGTGATATACACTCTGGCGGTTATTTTGTGATAAAGTAACTTCAGACGCAGACGTCACGTAGCTTCTCAGACGAGAGGGGTGGTGACGAGAGTGTCACGTTACTTCTCTCGCGGCATAGTTCACGTCAGGGTAGGCGACGATCGACACGATTGTCTGCTCAGTTAGTTCGTTCTTTGGCACAAATCACACCTCATACTGCTCCCACACCACCACCAACACCAACACACAGGCCGGCGCGGGCACGGCAGCTCTCTCTCTCATCAGCAGCAGCGCGTCAATGCGCGTTCACGCTCACCAGGCAACAGAGGAGCAGAAGAAGAATCTGGTTTTATTTATCTCTGCATGGCCACGTGGGATTTGTCGTCGGCATACATTTAGTTTTTATTCGATACTGAACGCTGCTCTTCAGTTTGGGGTACTGTTACTGTGCATTGAAGGTTAAGAAAATACATACAACGGGGATATGATGCCAAATAATTGTAAAATAAGGCTGACCGACTTGAAGGAGTAGGTTTGGCCTGTGGGATGCAACAGTTTAAGGTCCCTGAATGCAACATAATGAAGAAAGTGTTTAACTGCTTTTCCCATTCAATGCTTCACGCAGGGCCCCAGATGTCACATGTCCAGTCCAAGTCATCTGGTTTTGGCCATTTCATTTGGCTTATATACTGTAGGTTGTTACTGATTTGAAAAGATTACAGTAACACAGGACAATTTGTTTAAAACGTGTATATAATTAGTATGAGGTATGGATTTGAGGAATCTTATTGGCCTTTTTTCACAGCAAAGATTTTGACATGGCATAGCTGGAGAAACACAAGTATAACTTGTAACATTATTGAGGCAGTATGCATTACAGCGTGTCCATGGGACATCTACAACCGAATGCAGTCATCGTTAATGTTACATTTGAGCTTCTGCTACAATGACATGTCAACCCGTCTGCTATGAAGCTGCTATATTCTGCTATTTGCATTGTTCTAAATGGGAGAGGAGAAAACAGGTTTATACAAAATTCGATAACCTTACAGGTTATTCCTCCATGCGCCCCTAAGAGACCCTGATGTAAAAATGGTGGCTATTTAAGGTAAAAAGTACAAGTAAATATGAATTTATTTTCGCCCCTGTGTGGTTCTGGGAGTGTGCAGAGGAATATGCTAGCTTGCCTCTGGCCTAAATATAGAATGGGATGTGCACACAACAACCTTTTTGCATTTTAACATATAAATACATTATATATTCTGTTACATAATTCAAAGAGAGTTAAAAATGTATGGAGATAAATACATAGAAAAGTCCAGTGCCGTATAACCGTAAAAAGATGGTCTATATAAAAAAACGATAAAAAAATGTAACATTGTGACATTTATACATTTGAATATTAATAATAATAATGATAATAATATTTGTTCTTTAACTCTTTGTCATTTAAAATAAATTATAGCTAAAAGACAGCCTGCATTACCTTTAATGATGAAAGTTCCTCTGAACTGGTGTTGAACAGGTGGGCTGTATACTAAATGGAACAAAGGCATTGCTAATGTTAAGTTAAGTCTGTTGATATCATTTATATTCTAATAAGACATTTTTAGGTATGTCTCTGATGTCCATCCTGTTTACATCAAACGTCAGTGCAGAAATGCAGATTCAACCAATTGCAACGGCCAACAATATTCAGTTGAATATAGCCTATTTATCATAATATCACTCAAGTCTACGGCTAATGCATATTAATGCAGGGACTCTGAAAGCTGCACAAAATGAGATTTCTGTCTAGGAAAAGCACAAACTGAGCATAGAAATAAGTCAATGAAAAACCTCAATATGATGTGACAAATACAGCCGGATTCCTCAACTTGCTTTGTTGACATGAGGCCATCAATGGTGTGCGTAAAAACACCTAACATTTGGGGGGTTTTTTAAATAAGAAAAACCTGAGTGTATTGTGAGGCTATCCTTATACTCTGTCACTGTCACCTTATTTACATTTAACGTTCCCTTTGAAAATCCCCATTGTGAATACTTTTATTTTCATTCTTAATGGTCAACTCACCTAACGGCTGTAAAGGATCTGTCGAGCCTACAGCATTCTTTTGAAAAAAAAGAGGATTGAAATATGGATATATTGTACACAAATAAAACATGTGGTAAACAGGGCAGTTGAATATTAAAATGTGTGTGAATGTGAAAATGCAAGTAATTTCGTTAGTGGCTTGGAGGCGATAAAATAATGATTCCGTTTTGATTATTTTATAACCAGTTTAAGTTTGAAGTAAACTAATGTTCTATATTATTATTTCATTAGGCTATTATTAGTACTCCTTGTGTACACTGTTCAAAAGTAGCTTTCAACAATGTACAGTTATGTAATCATTTAGCCTTACAAGTAACAACCTATCTAACATTGTGAATACTGTATACATTTAATCACACGTGATTCCTCAAGGGCTTCAAATGTTGGTCAGGAGCGTTTTTACTTGTAAATGAGAATCCCTCACCAAATGCTCTCTTTAATTTAGATCTAATCCACAAACCCTTCTATTTTCTTTCAGTAGACTTTCAGATGATGTGCTAAAAACAAACTAAAATGATAGTGTAACATGCCAACAAAATACATCAACCACATTAAGAGTACTGGAACTGCAATCTCTGACAGACAGCAATTAATTTATTTCCACTCAAGGGAGAATATTTCAGCTGTGCAGCAGGAGAGCACAGCAGAGAGAAATGCCATTCAGCTGGAAGATTTACAGAATGCATGTTCCCTCATACACTGCAGCATCTGTGAATATAAACAGCTCTGCCCAGGAGCAAGAAAACCAGAGAGCTGAGACTCCACACTGTGATGTTGAATGCAAAATAAAGCTGCTGTAAGGACAGCAAGATGGAGATTGATTTTGTGGATTCACACATTTTCATGAATTTAAATATGGTGACGTGTTTCCTTTAACAGTAGTGTAAAGAAAATGTAATTCATCTCCCCCCGGAATGGTTTCCTCCCTTCTCATTTCCATATAGCAGAGGTTGGAGCCATACAATATTGATGCTGATAAGAGCACAGGAGGCTGTATGAGAGAGAAAGCAGGAGTCTGCTAAATCTCTCCATATATTTAAGCTCCCTGCCCCTTGACCAGGACCTGATCCTCAGCCATCTCGCCTCAGAGTCTCTGTTATTGAGTCTGATCCTGACGCCTGAACGCGGGAACGAGAGGAAGAGGAAGCAACTGTCAAGTATTTGTTATATCATGAGAAATACATACGCATTACTTTGGCCTTAAACCACAAATAACTTTCAGAGATTTACATTCAATATGCCTCTGCTGTACCAAATCCTCGAAAATCCCTTTAAAACAGTGAGATGTGGAACTGTAAAACAGCCCCTTTGTTTTTCCGCAGCAAGGCATTGAGATGGACAGGATGAGTGCACCTATTCCTGCCCCCTCTGGGAGGAAGGATGTGAGTTCAGCTTTTAGTCGTCTCCCTGATGGGCCCATGTGCTAATACTGCTGTCATGTCCTGGGGAGAGGGAAGACTAATTACTGACTGCACAGTCTTCCTGCCAGTCCCCCTTGGTGAGCCATACACTGCTAATTGGAAGACAACTCCAACGGGAGCTGAACTGTAGATGAGACCGACCTTTGCCTCATGTAAACAGCATTACACATGAAAACACATTTTTAATTTCCCCTATTGTACCTTCATAAAATAACATCGTTATTAAACTCTCAATTTGATGTACATAGTTGAAAGCAAGTTCTATTAAATAAATGTAAATCACTTTTCTTGTTAAGGGTATTTTCCATATAAATTGGTTTAGCTTGGCTGGCTATGCAGTGATAGTAAGGCAACGCTAATCTGTTTGGTTCTCAGCTTTTAAAATAGATTAATTTGGGTTACTCTGTCAGAGCAACGTGAAACATATCATTCTACCTTATGTTAGATATTTGACTGCATTAAAAGGTAAGGTGGGTAATGTACTTTAGAATAATGTATTGTTAGATAGTTTTTTTAAATACTCTTAACACCCCAACAGAAAACAATACATGACTGACAAAAAACAAAACAAAAACAATGGTATCTGTGGCTGTTGAAGGACTGTAATAGGTTGACCAAGTTGTTTTGTTCAAATAAAATGATTGGGCGGACTTAGTCGACCTGCCCGTCTACATGCACACACTCTGCCATGCACATATTCCCATCATTCTTCAAGAAGCCGCTTAAATGACAGCTTTTTGGACATTATATGATGTTCAGAAATGTTTTCTGATGTAGGAATGGTCAATGTTTTTGTCTGTCCTTGAAACAGACGTGGTTGTTTGAAGGTCAAATGCCTTTTTCAAATGCACTCAGAAATCTTCCTCTATAACAAAGCCTGCATTTACAGTACTTATTTATTGGTATTATAAACGTGCATGTCAGTGTGGAATCAGATAAGGATCCCTAATATTTGTACAAGAAACTACAAGCATGAGAGTAATGAACAAATATATTTATTCAATTTCAGTTTATTAAATAAAGTTATATCTGTGGAATAATAGTTTTAAAATCAGGCTCAATGAGAAAAGTGGCAATTAATTGACATTTGATCAAAGTGTAAATCAATCAAAGTCGTCATCACGTTTCAGTTAGTTCATTTTCCATAGTAAATGAGAACATTGCTTTCACAATGGGTGATACATCTTTTAGACTGTGTACACAGGCAAGTAAGTTGTCAAAAGTAAAATGCAAACCTTATCGTGCCTTTATCCTGAGAATCACAAAATAAAAAAATAAAAGTACCAAAGGCTAAGTGCTCAGTTTGGCTAAATGATACGTGTTATTATTCTTTGGCAATCTCTTCAAAAACGTTCAAGTTTCAAGTTAAATATTAATACCCTAAGTGAAATACGTTTTTAGACAGGATTAAAATGAAGACTTGTCTAAGCCTCATCAGGGAAGGCAGGAACACTGGCAAGAGCGGAGATGAGCCTCTCGAACACGCTGATGCCTTTCAGGAAGACTTTCTCATTCAGAAACTCGTTGTGATCGTGCAGCAGGATTGGAGTCCGGTTCATTGGGGAGAAGCCGATAGCAGGGATACCCACCTATGTTCAACAAAGAAACCCATTAATGGCGCAGAACTGAAGGAGTGAAAAAGCTTTGCAAACAATGTCAAATGTCATGATTAATCCCATCATATCCAGATTCTATACTCACGGCTCGGATGAAACGGCTATCCGTGGCAGCTGGAAATATCTCCTTTTCCAGAGTTATGTTCCTACAGTGGAGACATTGACACAGTTTTCATGAGACAAGGACAGCTTCAGTACAGTCCTAAAATTATCAGGGTAAATATTTCCAAACATATTACAGCTTATGTAAGACAGGCATGATCAAAGGAACCTATATTGTATTCATTTCCAGCAGAATGAATAGTACAAAGAAAATAGACACAGAGAGAAGCGACTGTAGACAGGCAATGCAGTACTGTCTAAACAACTGAGCAGGATTGTTGGAGCTGTGAGAAAAAGTGCAGTAAAGGTGTGAAATTAAGTGTTGTGCAAAAATAATATTATGAGAGTCAAAAAACATGACGGTTCTTATTTTGGGGAAATCTGAACTAATTTCACACAAAAGACTGTAAACACACACCTCCACCTCTCAAAGACTGCAACCACAAACTATTCAAACAACGATTTATCTTTCTTTTTTCAACATCTATTTAATAACACGCATACTTGTACATTTTGTACCTTTTTATTTATTCGCGCCTACTATTTTGTATTTTCCAATTGCTTCTATTAGTGCTTTTTGTATGTGTTTAACTGCATTGAGAGAAGCTTGCAAAATGTCATTCTACAGTTCTTAATTGTAGTAAAATTACAATGGTAAATGTAGATGGATTTGCAATCAATGTTAACATTTAGAAAATATATAGTAGCTTCTGTTACTAGTGGAAAGTGACAGTAGAAAATGATGTTTGTAAGTTCTTGACATAACATCAAACACCTGCGATGGTGCAAAGGAAAAGTAAAAACCACATAAAGATAAGAATAAGTGTGTGCAGTGTACTCACATTGCCTTGCAGGCTGCACTGAAGGCACTCCACCAGGGATCATTCTCCTCTGTAGAAGTCATGTTCTGGTTCATGTGTTTCTGCAATAGATGGCAGCTACTTTAATCTCCTTGATAACAACAGGAATAAACCAGCAGCACTTTTATAACGGAGTGTTAATGGCACTGACCTGAGCAAATTCGTAAGTGACGTCTTCTCCTGCTTCTTTACACCACTCCTTAATTTGTCGCTCAAACTCCTGGTAGGATAATGATAATACAGATGTTAGTTCAGAGCAGTCATTGAGATGGAGGTCATTTTACACCAACACCTGTAAGTCAGAAGTCTGCATTACTACATGTGTAACACAGAATTCTATAACACATAGGTTTGAGCAAGCTCTCTGATTGGTCAATAGGCGTGTTTGATTCCACGATCAAACAACGATCAAATAGAACGTGCCTAATCACAAAGTATCCAGTGGCCTACACACGCCACTAGCCTACCGAAACTACTTCCATGAGCCTACATCGTGTGGTTTCCATAGCGACGTTTAGCGACATACAGCCGTTACACTGTTATACATTGTCTCTCGTTGGAAATCGGTAGCTACAAAATGTCAGATTTTAAAGTTCATTTTGATTTGTTGGGGGGCCTCAGTATTGATGAATGTTTGGACATGGACACAGACCACAAAACCAACGAAAGATTTGCGGCTGTTTCAACTGACGAGTCCGGTCCGGGACACGCCATGAAACGGCCACTGGAGGAAAGCTCTTCCTATAACGTAGTCCTACCCGTGAACACCACAGCACCACCTGCAAAAAGGTCTGGCATGGAGTTCATGGAGAGCTGTTTCAAGAATTGCACTTTTAATGGCAGCATGAACATCCACCTTCATTTTGAACCCAAAATGTTTCAGCACCATGGACAGCCTGATTTGATTTGTTCCGCTAATCCCACACAGTGATTACTCAAATATTTAAATAGCCTAATTCAAGAATTGTTTTAAATAAATTGTTTTCAATAAATTGGTTAATAATATATTATTTACTATAATTATATCAATAACTGTAAGCGGGGTAGCAGGAGTGTTTGATCGGCTATCGTTACNCTGTTTCCGGTTATTTTTATTTTGAAATTCAGTTCCTGAAGGACGCCAAAAAAGCCCGAGATTATGGAATTAAACCAATAAATAAAAGCAAGGATAATTGTGTGTTATTGGTGAGTAAATAACAGTGTGTTATTTTGAAAAGAATAACAAATTAGAAGAAAAAAAGATTTAAAAAAATACAGATTTCAGTGTTCTGAGGCTCTGAGCCCCATTTATTTTCCTCACAGACGGAAACAAAAGTCAGAAATTATACGATTTAAAATAAAAGCAATAATTGTGGCTTGATATTGGGTAAGAACATGTTTTTATGAACCACACAGCTTCCGGTCTTCCACGACCCGACCGGAGAAAAAGACGTGCTGCAGGCACGAAACACATTACCAGTAGAAATACATTGCTTCTAAAATCGTGCTGTGCAACACGAAAAAAAGGGGAAAATCGTGTTGGTGAACACGAATCAATAGATTAAAAATCGTGTTGGTGAACACGAAATGCCATGAGACTGGGTTGCACAGTTACCCCTGTCTTCACACCAAATCGAGGAGGTTAGAGGACCGGGAAAAGAGTTGAAGTTAACGTTGTTTAACCGTCAAGCCACTCCAATCTGTATGGCACTTAAATCAATATTTCATTGTGGGGTGATCATTAAAACATGGGAGTCTGAATGCCAAGCTCGGAATGAATAATCAGCCTCATGCCATTAGCTAACAGATAAGAGATTTGCCTTGAGGAGATAGCTATGTTTTGACAAAAACATACAGAATAATGTCAAAGGTTTCATACAAATGTGAGATATATCTTCCTTAGTTAGAGAAAGTTTAAACCATTTATGTCACAAGAAAATATTTTCTTGTGGTTGAAAAGACAATTTCACTTGAGCAATCACTCTTGGTTTTGTTGGCCTTGTGCCTTGTAGATTTAAAAGGCAATTGACACCGTTGTTTTAATGACAAAGAACATTAAATCCAGATAAAATAACGTGTATGACTCATTCATCAGTCCAGCCTTGAAAAGGCCACTGCTTATCATGTTTGACACGACCCTCTGAGACAAAACCTCCGGGAATATCATCTGCCATCCCTGCTGTGTCACCTTGTCACATAACACAGCTTATTCTCCACATTAGCCAGTGGCACTGAGTCTCATTCACCTCCAATAATGAAGGTGGCAATGACTTAGCAAAGGAGCCCTAATGGAGGATACAGTGACACAGTCAGGGACCCATAATGGAGGGCTCTCTAATGTGGTGGAAATTGAAAGATTAATAATTCAAGAGCAGCTGGTCATGAATCAGTCGGCCATTTTGCTCCAGCGGTTTTTCTCTGTACCGTTCTCTGCAACCCGTTGGGTCTGACCTCAGTGGAGGGCACTCTGGGACATATCCCCCCGCCCCTGTTAGCTGCAATTGACGAGTGAAGATGTTTGGGATAATATAATTTAGCATATAGCAGTCTATATTTTACTACCAATGCTAACCTTGGTGTCAGCAATTGATGTGTGTGGGTGTATATGTGTTCATGCATGTCTTGTGTCTGTGTGTATGTGTGTTCTCTCCTTTAACTTCACCGCAGCCATTCCCACACCCCATAAATAGCCTGATATGAGGGCTGCATCCATAACTCAGTATTCAAATGAACACCGTCATGTCATATTTTTTGCGACCACAGGATGTGGCCGTGTCATATATCTGTGCCCTAAGGGGGAAGTGAAGGTGAATTAATCACAGGTGCTCATACCTCGCTGTCTCCCTCTCTGTGTGTGATGTATATGTCGGAGGTATGTTTATAGCGTGTATCCTTCATCCTGACACACTTTTCTCACTTTTCTTCATCTTTTTCACTTTTGTATCGCCCCCCAATTCCTTTATTTCTCTCATCATGGTGCATTTGATATACTGTGTATGTCATGTAATTTACTATTTTCTTCCATCTTTGTGTGTGTGTGTGTGTGTGTGTGTGTGTGTGTGTGTGTGTGTGTGTGTGTGTGTGTGTGTGTGTGTGTGTGTGTGTGTGTGTGTGTGTGTTGTGTGTGTGTGTAACTATGATGCATGTCCTGTTCTCTGATGGTAAATCCTTGCTAGCCTACNACAGCTCTGCCACTCTCATTTGGTCAAAGGGTGGACAGAGAAGGTGTCTGTCTGTCTGTCTGTCTGTCTGTCTGTCTGTCTTACTTGTGTGTGTGTGTGTGTGTGTGTGTGTGTGTGTGTGTGTGTGTGTGTGTGTGTGTGTGTGTGTGTGTGTGTGTGTGTGTGTGTGTGTGTGTGTGTGTGTGTGTGTGTGTGTGTTGTGTGTGTGTGTAACTATGATGCATGTCCTGTTCTCTGATGGTAAATCCTTGCTAGCCTACATCCATCTTGGGACTGGAGCATGTTTTTAATCCCAATGCATCTCTCTTCTCCTGTTCTTCTTCCCCCTGTTTCTCATGCATGATGTCTCTCTCTCGCTGTGTCTCCCTCTTTGTATCTCTCTATCTCTTTCTATCCCTTGTTCGTCTTACTCACTCTCTGTCTATCTCCGTCTCTTTAGGTGCTGGCTGCGATTGGACACATACTTTATCTGGAGCTTTATAGGCCCTGCTACGCTCATCATTATGGTGAGATGCACATACATGCATGCTTAAACACACTTGTCATGGCACTACATGTACATGCGTGCCAAATGTTAGTGCAGAAACGACGGGTTCAATTAAGGTTTACGTTAATCTTCCTTACACTTACAAGGTTTGCCAGAGCTCCTCTGCGGTGGAAGTAAAAGCGTAAGAAACTTTATGTCAATTTAATAATTTCCCACTCATGGATTAACTCTCAAGTGGGCACACATTCCAACAAGCTGGAAATCTTCAGAAGGACATAGAGAACGAACTGCAGATTACGATAAGGACTCAACAAAGTTATGTTGCTCTTAAGCATTTATTTAATGATCCAAGCCCTGTACTTTCTCCTGGCCTAGCTACTTTATTACAATACAGCTCATTACACAGCAAAAAGGGGAACTCAGTTGGACTACTTCCCTAGTCCTTTCACGGAGAAATGTCAATGAATTATGCTTTATCGGTCAGTTACTCCTGGGGAGAGGGAACAGTCCTTGAACCTTGAATGAGTAAACAGAGACAGAACTGGCCAGACACAAAGACAGAAAAAGAAATAAAAATATCAGTGTTATGGAAAGAGAGAATGAAAGCAATGGGACATGTTCCCAATTAGGTGAATGTCAGCATGTACACTGATGCTCTGTTCTCATTTAAGAAATGTCAGGCAGGCTATCACTGAACTAACTGTAAGAGGGAGCTGTGCAGGTGGGACTGCTCTGTTATGACTAGCCCATTGTAACATATAAAGCCTTGGAGACTAGGCGCAACAGTCATTATTCAACCAGCCTATATCTGCATTAGCAGGCCAATAGCATCTATGATAATTGGATATCTATTGTAACAATGATCCTTGGTGGTTATAATGACTGGCTGTATATTCCCTGATGCTTAAACTGCTGTGTTTTCAGCACATAAAGAGCTGTTGGTTATGTGCTGATACTGTGTCCCCAAGCCAATTACTGCCGGAAGAAAAAATGAAATATTATACACTGTGTGTGAGTGAATTGTTGCAGTGACATTGTGTCTTTAATTAGGCCTGTTGTTGCCGAATATTAACTTGTATGCATGTCTGTGTGTTTCAGCTGAATGTAATCTTCCTCGGCATCGCTCTTTACAAGATGTTCCATCATACGGCCATTCTCAAACCCGACTCTGGATGTCTGGACAACATCAAGTAAGTTCATGTATGCATACAGTCCTGCCATCACACCAGCAGGCCTGGGTTTAATGAGTGGATGTGATTATACATGCATTTGTGTGTGTATTTAGTAAAAGGGATAATTCAACATTTTGGGAAATCCAGTTATTTGATTTCCCTGCCAGAGTTTAATCAGACGATGGCTAGGACTTAACAACTGGTTAGCTTAGTTTAGCATAAAGGCGTGAAACAGAGGAAAACAGTTAGCCAAACTCTGTCAGAAGATAATACAATTATCCTCCCAGCACCTCTTACGCTCTCTAATGAACACATATTATCTTGTTTGTTTTATCCAAACAAAAACAACAAGCAGAGGATTTACAGGGTATTATGAGCCGACTATTTCTTAGATGGGAGATAAATTGTTTTGCCCTCGACCTAATGTAAAAAAAGCAGATTATTGTTTTTACACTTCCTTTTATTTCAATGGATCAAACAAACAAGATATAATGTCTTCATAGTAAGCTTTAGATTTTGTTACAACTTCATATTCACCTAAGAGACTTGATCTATCTTCTCATGAAACACACACATTGTAGCCACTAAGTATATTTCCCAAATGTCTACCAATTTCTTGTGTACCACTGTTCAGCAGGCTTATTTATATAAAAAGCAACATGAAGCACTCTTTTGGCATACATTGTTTTAAGATGCTTCTCATTAAATAGATTATATTATTATTCCCAGTCATGTCATTACTCATTTCACCCTCAGAGGATGTTAAAATATGACTTCATTTCCACTGCACACTGAAGCTCTGTCTACAAAGCAAACTAATCAGGATTGTGTTATTCCTCATTCCAGTACAGCTCAAGACAAAAACCTCAATCTAATTCAAACAATGTTCCATGGCTCTGAGCTCAATGCCTTACTGAGGCACAGCTCAGAATGTATAATGTGAATCACAAAATGGCTTACTCATTTGATTTATCATTTAAATATGGCTGTCAATGTATCTTTCATGCAGCAGTTTTAAGTAGGACTTCAAGTGGGAAGCGTTTCAGAAATAAAGCGAAACCAGCTGATACTTGCTTCTGTGCCGTTCAGAGGAGCGTAATCAAAAAGCCTGATGAAAAATGAAAATCAAAGAACGATTTAGAATATGATGCTTTTGGATCTTGTTTCCCTTTTTAATAACTTTCCACCGCCTTTTAGAGCACACTAAAAGCTGAATGGATTTTAATATATTTCACTTCATTGGTCATGTCTTTTTGTGGTTCATTTACTTGTTAATCATCATCATCATCATCATGCCCTTTTGTCTTATTGTTTTTCTTTCTTTTGTTTTCTTTGTCTCTAACTCCAAGCCGTCATGAGTTGTCTTTGTTTTGGATTGGCTCTGGTAAGGCCACTCTCCAATCAGGATGCCTCTCGTCTTCCGAGAGACATTTTGATTGGTTTGCTTGTCGTTTATTATTTGTCTGTAGAACCTGCCTTGTCTATCCATATCCCTAAATTAACCATTAACCTGCCTTGTAAAATGGATTACATGTTGATATGTGATTTGTGAGCTCCTATGGCCTATAGACCTGTGCTAATGTGCTATTGAAATATTATAATGGTGAGATGTGAACGAGGGGAAACAGAGCTGAGAGAGAAACCACGACTCTGGGGAGCCCTGGAGGAAGAGGTGGAATGAAGGGATGGAAAAGTGAGGGATGAGTGTACCCTTTATTGAAGGGGGTCGTCAGACGAGCTTTATTGGAGGTTCTGTCTCGCCTGAATGGTGCCACAGAGGGCAACAACGAATCAATCACCTTAGTCTCACTCACTTACTCTCCTCCTCTTTCTCTCTTCCTTCCTGCTAACTCTTCTAATATCTCAACCTTTTCTCTCTCTCTCTCGTTCTACCTTTCTTTGTCTCCGTCCCTCGCATTAGAGGTGATCACTGTCCAGTCAGCCAATCAGATTAACAGCCATCATCGCAGCTGTGGCAGACCAGAAAGTGTGACCTTTAGTGGGAAATGTCATTTATAATGGCTGTAATGTCCCTCTACTTACTGCCCAGTGGAGCCACCCACAAGGCTCGCACGCTCAGATGAGGACGTACAGTGCATAGACAAGCTTCAACACAACCGCATTCCTCTGAAATGTGGGCCTTATGACTCACTTCTGCTTACCCTTTATATCAAATGTAGGTTTATAGCCTTAAACTTTTAATAAAATTAATTCCATTAAATTCTTATAGTCACAATTGGACTTAAAGACTTCAGTAACCACTTCCGCTATTTAAAACATATTTTACCCTCTGCCATGCACTTTAAGTGATGGAGTTTGGATGTAACTTTGACAAAGTCCTGTGTGCTTGACCTTCTCGGTATTTGTTGCTGACGTCAGCTAGCATACAATCTCCCTTCCTCTCATGAGACGTTATCGAAATGAGCAAATCCACTTTCTCTCTATTCTCCCACCCTTTTCGTTAGAGTGTAATTCTTTTTTGGCAAAACCTCCAACTGTTTTCTCCATCCCACTCCAACAGTGTTGGGACGCCGAATGAACCCTCTCTAACCCCTTTCTCCTGCCTCATGATCCCACGTGTATTAAACTTGGCTGAACAGCTTTTTACTGATCCTGGAAATAGACAAGCCTATTATGTTATCCTTCTTATAATAAAACCTGTAATGTATACTTTACATTTAACGGAATAAATGGTCATGTCAAGAATGTAAGTGACATTTTAACTTTTATAGCATTTCTATCTCTCAATTACTCCCATTTGCTTCCAGGTCTTGGGTGATCGGGGCCATCGCCCTGCTTTGTCTGCTGGGCCTGACCTGGGCTTTCGGCCTGATGTACATCAATGAGAGCACCGTCATCATGGCCTACCTTTTCACCATCTTCAACTCTCTGCAGGGCATGTTCATCTTCATCTTTCACTGCATACTCCAGAAGAAGGTGAGTGAGACAAACTGAGACAAAGTTGTACAGAAATAGACAGACAGGCACATAGCATTGATCAACAGGGACACCAAAAATATCCACAGAGCTTTGACAGGTTTGATTGGTCATTTAGTAACCCCTGCTGGCTTTTCAATTCTCTCACTTTTTCTCACCGACTACCTCCTTGTGGCAGGTAACAAACGGTGTAGTTTCTGTCTTACTCCAGCAGAAAACAACGTTTTTATCATCAGGCAGGGTCATCAAGCCTGCAGGGTTTCATACTTTGATGATATTTTGCTCGCATTTGTTTTACATTTGGACATATACTTTACCCCTGCTTATGGCCCATCCACACAGCGGCGTGTGTTGAAAGCTTCACCATTCACTTTGAATGGGGTGACGTCACTTTTCGCCGAACTGCATTGTGGGAAGCGAAGCGGAGCTTTGCTGGCGTGGTTCGCTGCAAAAGTTGAGCAATGTTCAACTTTTGAAGCCTCAGCAGAAGTGTCAGCCAATCGATACATATGCCAGTACAAGCTCTAGCCAATCAAACCGCTGCTTGTGTGTCAGGGGCGGGACATTCATGTGATTGGATGGTGTTCGAGTTTCAGACACGCCCGCCGGCAAGCTTCAACGCACGCCGCTGTGTGGACGGGCCGTTACACCTACTGTATATGCCGTGAGCTGATTATCGAGCCTTCATTGTAACTTGCACTTCAAACGCCTGAAGTTTGAGAACCACTGCATTAGAAGCACAAAATACAATCCTGTACATGAACCTAATATTTCCTCTTTCATACAATTGCTTTAAAGATCATGCAAAACAAATCAAGAGGCAAACAGTTCAATCTCACCTTTGTTTCTCCCTCTCTCTGAAGTCCAGGAAGGAGTTCATGACATGGCGCTGAGAATGATAAAGAAGTTCTGTCAATGAAACTTTGTAAACAACAGGTTTTGAGGTGTTTTATTAAATGTTTTAATGGATTTGACAGTTACCAGCTTCTCAGCAGCCGTGTTCTCCACAAACCTCGACCCATGACCTGGACTGCCTGGGCAGTGGATTGTAATCCCTGTGAAGAACAAGTCATTCTGTTTGGTTCAAGATCGGCTTCATCATCCTTCAAAAACCCTGGAAATCTGATAAGATGAGTCTATTACTGTATTTTATACTCACACCAAGGGTTCCTCTCTCCGTAAAACACAGTGAAGGCCTCACCAGGGTTCGCAAGACCTACAGAAAACATGCAGACAAATACTTTTTAAAAAAAAAATAACATTAGTCTTGTGCATTCATATAACAATAAAAGGACAGAAGTCATTTTCACCACAGGAGGGGTTATAAACCTCAACAGGCTGCAGAGATTGATCACAGCACATCAGGATCAATAAGGGTCACTTGGCACAGTTGGTAACATTCTAAATATTTGGTTGTCAGACTCTGGCTCTGTGTCAAACCCCACTATGCAGGCAGGATCATTTCTAACTAAGGTAACAATAGCCATACAAATAAACAACTATGTTTAATGATTTCTTATATGCTTAAAAGTCATTGTGTCAAATACATCTGACTGAAAGCCGTGATTAACCGTGCAATTAGTTCTTATTATAATTTATTAGGACAAACATCAAAATGACTTCTCAAAAGGAAGTATAGGCATTGTCATATTATTATATATTTTTTGAAAAAATACATTATGTGTCTACCCAGGAGTTGGAGTACATTCCATTTGTCCTACTCCTTTCAGACTTAAAAGTGCTTGATAATGTTGTTTTGTTGTTGGAACAATCTAAAAATAAAGAAAACAATGCTGACCATGGCCTCTAACGTTCGTAGTTCAATCCAGCTGGGGACCTTTGTTTCGTCTCCCTCTACCTCTTTTGCTATTCTCTCTTCTAGGGCAAACGTAGAAACCAGACTGAACTTGGTTTTGACTTATTGACTAACTTAAAGAGAGACCTTCTGTGTTTAGATTATCACTCATTAACTTTTCAGAAGAAGAACCAGACTGTTATTTATTTACCTTCATCTAGGGCAAAGCCGATGTTCAATTTTTTGAACTCCGGATTCTTCACAAATGATTCCATTCCCTTGTGACCTCCAACTTCTTCATCTAAGAAAAGAGAAACATGTTTTTTAGTTGTTAATGTCAAATGTGTGTTTGCGTAAATGCTCATTCTTGGCAAGGGATGTGGTTTGATTTCTGCTAAACAAGAACTAGTATGTTATGAATAACATACCAGTTCAGCCTCATGAGCAATAAAGACTGTGAAACATAGATTTAACATGGCATTCATATTTCATTAAGCCACTCTGTAACAAGGGCCACATCCCAGCAGCAAATTGAGCACAGCACAGAAAGGTCCAATTTGTCCCAGCCTAGAGGTACAGTCACATTTCATTTCCATCCAACACACATTTACGATCACTTCCATCCCAAACAACAGACTGAATGGATGTGCTTAGCCACCCAATGAAACAATTGCTGTACTCTTAGTGGAAATGAAGAAGTTGTTTGAACGGAATCATATGCCACCCTACACAGGTTGAAAAAAGCTACCAGGAGAGTGAGGAAAGTGTCAATCAAGTGTCGGGTGTTTCTCAAAAGTCAAGAAAGGCTCCTTCCACGGATGATTTTTAGGATCAATAGCTCCGAAGTACTTTTCCAACTGTTTCTAATAAAGTGTTTTATAATAACTGATAGAATACTTTTGGTTAATAGTTATATGTTAATAAATGATATATAATTTTTGTAAACCCTGAAGTTGTATAACATATTCACTATTGTCAGTATAGCCTTGTTATTTTAAGTAAAAAAGACACGTCAATTTCTGACGCACACAGGAACAGTCCCTAAAGCGTTTCAATGAAACACCCACAGACTTGCAACATTAGAGAGAACCCCTGTGTGGGTGGGCCCGGGGTGTTTAGATCCTTAGACAACAAACTATACTAGAACGTAGGGAAGCAATCAAATATTTTACCAGGAACAAACATCAGGTGCACAGTGCGCATCAGTTTCCGTCCCTCTGCCTTCAGCCTTCTGACTGCTTGGATGTACCTGGATGTAAGAAAAATAAAAAGGGCCGAGTTATGACCGAAATAAGAAATGGAGTCTGCACTTACAGTATGCAGGGTGGGTGAGTGGGTATTTCTCATTGAACAAAATTAAAAGTGAAGATCACAACAATACTAGAGTACAAATCCTGTTTGATAAAACAAGTTATTAAAAGGCAGTTTTATACCCACTGTATAGTTACACATTTCATGTCCTGTGTTCCCCGGGCATAAATGTTGCCCTCTGCATCTTTGAAAGCACTGAAAGCATCGTATTTCCAATGTTCCTGGAGAAGAAATTGATATCAAATCTATTTTTGTTATTTTATTCTATTAACGATAAAAACAGGATTGTAACGCCATAAACTTAGAAAGACGCCATACCTGGTAAACTGGTACAACATCAGTGTGGGAATTCAGTAAGACGGACTTCAACGTCGGGTTCTTCCCTTCCCAAGTCATGATCGCCACTACTCTGCCTGGACAGACCTTCAGGAGAGGGAGCGGCAGAAAAGGCCTCGTTTCATTTCAGAGAAAGTATTACTTGTTTCTGTAAAGTATGTATACTAATGTCTGCTGCATTCGTTTATTTATCATGGACACACACCTCAATCTTTCTCATGGGTAGATCAAGCTCCTCAGCTATTCTGTCCAGAAAACGAAGAGCAGCATCTATAAATGAATAAACAATAGAAATAAGAATTAGTTTAAATAAATGTGTAAAACCTCTCCGAACAATGAGATAGACATTATTTCAGCAGCTCCTATATTCCTTTTAACAGTGGATTTCCTTGAACGTGTAATATAGTCAAACTGAAAAACGAAATAAAAACAAAACACAAACATAAATATAAATAAATAGTATTTTGGGATACAGCTTAATTATTGTTAGTCTCAATCATTTTGTTTTGTAAAATCTGAGCTGCCACTGCAAGTTTTTTGGTCAGGAGTGAGAGCCTTGCGATCAGCTCAGCTTTCTTTTCTTTTAAGACAGTATACTAGGTTCATACATAACTGGCATAAGCATATAATGTCTAACTGACGGCGATAAGAAATGGATTTTGATAAAATCACAGAACATTAGATCGAACAAGTTATACAGGAAAATATTTCACACTGGACTTATAAGATGTACTTGACTAAATATATATATGTATATATATACACAATTCTAAGGGATATGAAGTGTGAATGATAATATTAAAGCTTAGTAAGCTTAATATAAGCTCATGACATAAGTAAAATAAGACAAAGGATAGTGTTAATAGGAAAAGGACTCAAACCCCATCAAGCTAAGTAAATGCAAGACAATCTGCGACATTTCCAAGGACATGACTGGATCAGTGTGTTGTGATGAAGGTATCTCACCATAGTCAGGGTCTGGGTGGACAGTTTTGAGGCGGAGGTACTCTCTGAACAGACTCACAGACAGATCCTCTCCCTCAGGAGAGCTCTGTCTGCCTCCAACACCTGGACCATCTTTGTCAGGCAGCATGGTGCGATGTATTCTCTGAGGACAGACAGGTGTAATTCCATTGAAAACCAAACACACAATGCCACATCACAATAGAATATATTAAGCAATGACGGAACTGAAAAAAACAATTACTTTCTTCGTGTTGTAAACCCAGTTATCTCTGCTGTCTCGCGGGCCATCAACCTGACACACTGACGCAAGCTGTCTTTACCTTATTTTAAGCTGCGACGATGACACTTTGTAAGCTAAAGCCGCTAGCTAGCCTTGTAGCTAGTGTGCTTGTTATTCACTCCGTTGGCTGTAGAACAAGCCATGCGGGGGCTTTACCCTTTACGTTATGTTATTACCTTACCTGGTTACTGGTAACAATGATTACATGACTGCAAACAAAGTCGATTTATTTAATTATTTGTAGCTAGAGTTATCACAGTACTCACCCAGTGCAGTCAAATTGCTGGTCAATCGCAGCTTCACAGTTTCAGGCTCATGACCGGTAATCTTCCTGCCTTTCAAAATAAAAGTCCTGTCGCAGGAAAAAGGTCCCTTCTGAGGACTGAATACTTCTTGCACTGATTGGCTAATAATCATGGAAAGACATCCTTCAAATAATTTGCCCAATTTGTCTTGAATAATTTACACAGTGGTGGAAATTGACCACGTATACATTTACTCAAGTATTATACTCAAGTACTATTTTGACCCATTTGTAGCCTACTTGAGTATTTCCATTTAATACTACTCATTCGTCCTCTACATTTCAAAGGCAAATGTTATCCTTTTTACCCAACTAAATGTATTTAACACCCACAGTTACTAGTAACTTTGTAAATATAACACATGATATGCTGATATGGCATAATGCAGTACTGTACTACTAATATAAACAGTATTTCACATATCTAAAGTGCTCCACATTGACCAACTATAACACTGAAGTGTTTAAAACAGGAAAATATCATTAACATGATAATATAATAGCCTACTGTGAAAGGTACTTTCACAGATAACATTGATGATACTTTTGTACAGAATAAGTACTTTTACTTTTTGAACTTTAAGTACATTTTGATGCACGTTTTTGTTGCTTGTTTTTGTACTTTTACTTAACTTGTAATGGAGTACTTTAAGACTATAGTATTTGTACTTTTACTTAAGTTAAGGATTAGAGTAGACTTAAACTTTAGACAAAAATGTCAACATGGCAATACAAAAACTGTTCTTTTGATTGGTTTATTTGAGTATATTTGTGTACAGGTGTGTGTTATTAAATAATGGACAAACGGTTTCAATGGAGACCAACTGGAACATATAAAAGGGCGATCTACCTTTAGTGCTGAATGAAACCATAAAAATGCTAAAAGGAATTCGGAATTAATCTTATCCAACCACTGTTGTACCACTGTTGGTATCGTAATGTTTCTTTAATATTGTTAGTTTTAGTTTTTTCTTCACACGTACAGCTATATTGGCAGAACATTTCTTGTGAAGACACACCATCAGAAATTACCTCAGGTTTCCAAATCATGGCATTTTATCAACTGAAACATACAAAACACACATTTTCAGTTTTATTAAAGTCACACACATCTAATTTTAAGTTGTTTTTTTTGCATGATTGTCCAACGTATTGCAAATATTTTAGATATGACCATCATCATCATCATATAAATAAATGTTATTGTATATGGTTTCTTCTTTTTAATTATAACAGTGTGTATCAACTCTGTTTGTCTTGCTAAACATGTTTTCTTGAATGGTTACCAGATCTTAATATATAAATCCTTCAAATGTGAGGCTAACAGAAGCTATTTAAAACACAGACACCTGCAACATTTGCATATTTACAGCAACCTACACGTCACCTACAAAAATGGTAACAGCGAAGCCAACATATAACATGTTTTACATGCAAAGAGAGACAGGAAACAAAAATCACCACAATACATAACGTAAGCTATTTTTTTACAACAAGCTGAGCTGAACTAGTATTTTAGGTGACAAGATGGAACATTGAAAAAGATACTTCTATAATGGAAACATCTGAAATACTATAATGTTAAATGAGGTCTTACATGCTGTTTTGACATGTATTCAAACCAACTTCCATGCCTTAAGGTCTTTGCTTAAGGAGAAGATAATATGAGAATAATGTAGATCTAGAGTTCATGACTATTTCCTCTTCTTTTTTTTGCTTCCATCTTTGTAACTCATCTGCCTCCCTAGAAATCTCACTTTAGTTTCCCGAGGAAGTCCATCAACCCTTGGTGAAATTCTCTGGTTTTGTCCATGTAGCATGCATGGCGAGCTCCATCTAGCTTCAGCACGGAGTGGTGTGGAAGTTGTATGAGGTTCTTGTGGGACTGGGCACCCAGATTTGTGTCCAGGGCTCCAAACACAATTAGAGTGGGAATCTAAATAGAAAATAACACAGGAGTGGGAAAACTTTAAGGCTATAAAGGGTAAACAATATATTCACACATTCGCACACCACAAGTCCTCTGAAATACCTGTGGGTGGTAAATCACCTGTACCAGGTTGTATTGTATAGCAATTGCATAAACATGTGATGCTTTCTACTTGTCTTAAGTTACATAGGTAATTCAAAATCTTTGTTAGTTGGAAAAGGGAAGCAAAGTAACATTTCCCTTTGGAAATAGAAAGAGCATTATTTCTATCATTACATACATGGAATGACCAATTTTAGTATTAAAGCTGTTCAAGCAGCTGTTTGCAATCTGCAACATCACAGCTAGAGGTCACTAAATCATATAAACCAGATTAACATTGGGTATTAGAAGGCATAATAGAGTCTGTATAAAGGGGAAGAGACAGGTTACATACAGAAGGCCCCCTGGTGAATAGGTTGTATCAATGGGTCCGCCAAATTGTTTTTTGATAATGTACATATATTTATTTTTGAATATATTTATACAAACAATGCCTTCTTCCCTCACCTGAATATTTTGGTACTGCTGTGGAGTGTAACTTCGGGTACCGACTGGTGCTATGGGAATAAAGCCTTGCAGCTGAGCGGTGTTCTTCATGAGGAAGGGGATGGAGTAATGTCCGCTCATGGAGGGGCTCATGAGCACTGCTGTCCTGACACCCAAAGACTCCATGAACCTTGAAAGTAGGTCCACTCGATTTTGATCAGTCTTCAAACCCTCCGAGTCCGGCGATTTTCCATATCCTTCAATAAGAACAGCAGTTTGTGAAACATAATCTGAACATAATTTCAATGTATGAACACCCACTGACTTTTTTCATTTTGTTTCAATATTTTTCCTTTAGATTTGTCGTTCTACATTATTAATTTCAATGAAAAACCCAGCAAACAAAAAGGTGTTTTGAGTTATTATGTTTGATTAGACCTCTGTTCAGAGAATTTGTGGTTCGGAGCTGCACTGGGAATTCCTTGAGGACATCTAACTCTATGATTTCTGCTGCCTATCCAAAACAAAATATAAGCCTAAAAGAAAATGCCACGTGTAGCATAGCACACAAGGAAACGCAGAAACTAAATTAAATATGTCTGAAAAATGCAAACCAGCATAAGCTTAACAATACACATTTAAATATATTGCCAGATCTAAGAATATATCATTAATAATATCTGTTCTTATCAGCGATGGGAAACATCCCATTTATCCTGCTCAGAACTCAAATAAAAAACTACGTCATTCAGATCAGGCAGTCAAAAACTGTTTCTGATTTTTGTCTACAATATTAGTTAATGAAACCAAAACTAGGTCAACATGTAAAATATTCAATATATATATATATTATATAAATGACCAACAGTGACCTGGTGTGTTCAGAATGACTGTGTCAATCTTCTCATCTGTCACTTTTAGACTTAATCATTTTCAAGTATCACTATACTTTGTAGAAAGTGCTGATTATGTTCAACAAGGCTTAAGTTCTACCTGGAAGATCCATTGCTAAGGCTTGATATCCATTAGTTGCCAGCAGGGCCATTGTACCAAGGTCTTCCCAGGTTTTGGATGTGAAGGCCTGGCCATGCAGAAGGACCACTTGCAGCCTGCAGAGAAATACAATTGTTTATCAGGATTTTATCAAAGACGATCACCAAAAACTTTCTGTGTTTAATCTATCTTTAATATCATCCTCACGGGCTGTCTTTTTTTCACCTCAGGTTATGATTACAAGGCAGGTTATTGGCTTAGATGTTCTAAATATTCTCTCCACTTGTCGACTTACTTTGGCAATATCTGTCGTCCAGCTCCATCAACAGGTAAAGCTTCTCTGAAGAACAGTGGAGGGTCCCCAGGTAGCTGTCCAGTGCGAATAGTCACATTGATGGTTGGAATTTGAGGAGGGGTGGCCATTAGCCCCATTCTTTGAGCGTCTAGGGACGGCTCCATGCTGCCCTGTCGGATGGATGGCAGCAGCAGGTACAGCAGTAACGTGGCCAACAACACCAGGCCCAGGATAACAAGACGATTACGCAAGAAATTCATTTTGTTAGGTTGAACGATCTAGGAAAATAGGTAGATAGTGCATTGTGTAAGGTAAGAACCCGTCATGTGGATTCTGATCATACAGTATTTTGAATTGTCTGACAATGTATATAGAAATTGCCACCCCACTTCCATCAGGCCCATTGTTGTTCATTCTAAATATATTTGTTTAAAGTATAAATATACTATAAAATCTCAACAAAAAAAAATACCCTGTTTCCTTAGTTTCTTTACTTCAGCAGTTCTAAAAAGGGAATTCTTCAAATGTTCACACAACAGCTAAATCCAAGCTCACATTGTCTGAAACAGTGCACTTAACAAGTTAAATGATTATTAGGTCAATAATGTAAATATTTCAACAGTTAGGACTCAGATGCTGACTGTGCACTGACAAAGTTAATCGAGAAAAACCCAATACATGTAAATAATTGAGTGAAAGTTAAACCTCCTGGATGAAGAACGAGAAATCTAAGGTAGGTTCGCTGTATAATAAAATTAGCCAAAATATGCAAATAAGCTAACATTAGCTCTTCTACAAGCTCAACCTCTATACAGTAGGTCGGTTTAGCAGACTTTAAGGATGCCGCACCAGAGGACAACATACCAACACAGAGGAGATTATTCTCAGACACCTTCACTGACAGGTAGACAGGTCTGCCTGCTTTTTTATCGTCATGTCTTCTGCATTGCTGCTTGCAAGTGATGGGATGTTGCAGTGAGGCTTCGGGTCGACGCTGGCTGGAGCTAGCTTTCAAAAGTATGAGGAAAAAATGAGCTTACTGACACGACGCCACCAGAGCTTTCGACGAAAATGTCCGATCAATCATCAGGTAAAAACTGGATAGAAACGTGAAAGTCGTGAAATGCATAGCAATGTCGATGAATGTCGATTACACACAAACGTTTTAATTAGTTTGTTCCTCGTCGGAGACCTTAAAGAGCTGCACACAACAACACTAAACCCCAGTGTCACTTCCTGCTGAAGCTACGTACGTTTGTGAACAAGTATTTTGTATGCAGTTCAATCAAAATAAGTTAGATTAATATCCTTTGTGTGCTTTAAGTATAAAAACATGTACATTAGATACACACAGATACAGTACATTACTTTATTTCCATATTTTTTTGCACCTAGTAATAAAATGTGTTGTTAATGTGTTTAATTCCAGTAGACTACAGGCTTCATAAAAAAAGAAATACATAACAATACATTCAGATGACTGTTTAAATAATTAAATTATCTTGTATAAAAACTGAATATGAAGTGTTATCAACAAAAAAACAGTTTACTTTCAGATTTGGTTTTAAAAAACAACATCAATACATTTTTGGCAAAATAAGGCTTGTAAATTAACACTGAAGCTGCTTCCAAAACAGCGATGTTGGGTAGTACAAAAGTAAAGGTTTACAATTCAATGAATTATATATTACAGATTCATTGTTTTAGACTTTTGATAGTTTTATGCTTCAGACAACCACTGATTTTCACTGAGACAGGAAACTTACTTGAGTTAGATAATAAATTGCAACAAAAATAAGTTAAAGTGCAGTATTACAATTCTTTCAGCATACTTGAAACATTTTACTTCAATAGTATTTGGTATATGAAAAACAGTACAACATACCTTGTATTCTAACAAATGTTAGGTAGCTAAACTACTTTTTGAACGTTATCAGAGAGAATAAATACAGAGCCGACTGTATAAATATGAAACTGTTCAGCCAGCTATAGTCTAGAAAAGATATGTAGATGGCAATAAACTAATATGATGATTTACCTACATGGTTGCTATCTCCCATTCACAAGCTGCTGTGCAACTCAAACTACACCCTAAATCAAAACTGTTAATTGTGTTTAGAGCCAGAACAATACTGGATTTCCAAGGGTTATTTTGATATTTGAGAGCAACATTTATAATTATTTGTTCACATAAACATTAAGGTTCCCTTACATATTAAAGAATTCTGGCCAAACTTGACTAACCAGGTTAGATTTGTATCAATAATTTTTCATTACATCATTACATACTGCATGAATAAATGCTGAAATGTTTTTCTTAACATGTAAATCCATAAGTTGTTTTCACATTGATTTCCATGTCAATTACAAGACACCTTTGGCAATCAAATAAAATGTAGCTTTTCTTATCTCACTAGTACAGATCTGTCCAAACTTTCCTCTTGTATATTAAAATGAAAACTAATGGGAATATGGAAATCATATCATTATAAAGCACAGGGCTCAGCAAAGGGCTGAGATAAACACTGTTGTTAAAAGTCAAAACTTCTAAACAAAGGCGACCATTAAAAAGAGCACTTCATAGCATGGTAAAGGCACGGATTTAAACTGTTTACATTTCATTCATAAGGCTTCCACAACAGAAAGAAACAATGTTTAAGGTGTAAATCAAGATTTTTGTTAATACTTCATGTTGTTCTATTGTTGTGTCGATCATAAAACAAAACTCAAAAACTGTAAAAATTAATTAGGAAGGCATTTTGCCCTCTGTGGTAAGACTTCCACAAATCCATGTGTGCAGCAATGGTATAGAGTATCTTCTAATCTGAAGCATGAAAGAGGCCTTTAAGAGATATGCCAGATTTTTTGACATAATTGGATATAAGTTTAAGAGTTGAACAGTTTTAAAATGTATGAATGAAAATACGTTTCAGGAGGAGGTCCTAAAGTCGGAGCTCTGCCAGTGCAGCTTGTCAAACACAAATGTTCCAGTTTGATGGGTCTGTGTGCTGGGATAAAAAGTCTCCTGTCATACTGGGATCACCTCTGATGACAGGAGGGAGTGTCGGCTGTTGTAAATGTATCAGTTTCTATAGTGCATATCTATAACTTAGCAACTTCATGTTGAAGGTCTGACCTGTGATCTTCAGAGCTGGCAGAAGCAGTGAATAGTTTGCATTTCTCAGCTTCCTCAGTGTAGTAAAGTGAGGAGTCCTAGTGGGAGTAAAAGGCAAAGAGGCCAGGTCCCTAAGACAGAGGAAGCTCTATTCTGCCCCTCTTTCTCAGCACAGGCCTCACCCCTGTACCCACCGTAGCATTGGCACTGGAAGTGTGTGCGGAGAAAGTCCAGCTCAGCTAGGCCAGGCACGCCTGTAACCTTCAGCTGGCCACCCTGACTTGTGATGCTGTGAGTTAAGGGGCTGAGATGCAGGTACACGTCATTGTCTGATATTTTGCGCAGACAGCGTCCATGGGACTTACAGAGCACCTGACTGCACTGTTCAGCAGCTGTAGTCACGTTGAGGAGGTACCGGCCCAGCTGTCCCTGGAGATAATCATTTAGGATGGTGCAGCTGGCCTGCAGGCAGAAAAAACAAACATTATGTTAACGCCAAACCTAAACTATTCAGCACATAAGCAAAGAGGGAGTGACACTTACGCTGCTGCTTGCATAGGAGGTGTCCCCCCAGAAGATCAGACCTGCAGCCCCGAGAGCAATACTCTCTCCAATGGTGGAGACCAAATCTGTCTACACAACATTTACATAAACAGTTCAGTGGTGTACATTACAATGATGTTGATATTATCACACAGGTACATTTGAGTCAATTAAATAATTTAAATGGTCGCTTAGCTAATACACTTTTAACAAAGTGTTATCGGTATTTTATCTAACCATCATACATTCCTATGGTGTTAGCGGAGCCCCAAAACTAAAACAATACCTAATGTTGTTATCTTGTGTATCCCCAGCAATGTGTGGCAACTGCATCCTCCGATGTAAGGTTACATATAATAACTGAACTTCTAGATAACATAATAAATGTATAAGCCTCCTGTACTTGATTAACTTTTGCTCCAGCCAACTTACTTGAGATAGAAGGGTCATCTGATTCATGTAAGAAGGGCGGGTATAAACGAAAACTGGCCGTGCTAATCCATCCCCAACCGATGCTAGTCGCATGGCCTCCTTCACCCTGTTCCGGACAAAGAGGCGCCCATAATTTGTAGAGGCAAGAACGGAGCCCATGTATATAGACGGGAAGAATGCTGTACAGTCCATCCACAACCAGTTAAGTTGATCATTGCGGCCCATTTCCACAACTGGACAGCGTCCTGTGTAGTTATTCAGGCCATTCCTGTAGTCATGGTTATAGCAATCTGGAAACAGGTAGAAGCCCCACAGCTGATTTGGCCTCAAACTCTTGGCAAGTTTCAGAGTCTCAAGCATAAATTTGCGAGCTGACAGCTCAAATTCCTGCTGTGCAACTTTTCCCACTTGTTCTGGAGTCCACTTTGGGTTCTTTTGGGCCACCATTTCACGAGATTTACTCCGATAGATATCTTTAATATCCCAATTTCTAATCCACAATGGGCGCCACTCCTCCCAGTCAATCACAGCTAAACCTTTCGCTACTGGGTCACGTATATATTTCTGCAAACCTTCAGGCATTTTTTCAAAGTGTTGAGTGAGGCTGGCAAGCTGTGGAAGGCCTCCATTCAGTGCAGTGCCACTACGCTCATAATAGGGATACAACCCAAGGCGTTCCTTATAGAAAATTGTGAGGTTCTGTCGGACAAAGCCCTCATTGGGGGATGCCACAATGTCAAACTGGTCCAGAGATAAAGTTACACCATGCCACGGGCCACACTCCTGTGTTGGGGCATTCCAAGCTAGAAGAACTGGCGTCTGGGAATATAATGGCCACCTTGTCTGCTTTAATTCTGCTGAACACAAGACTATCCAGGATGTTAACAAAGTCAGAACAAACCAAGGCATCTGGCCAGCTGTGGTGAAGAGAGGGGGAGATACAGCCTCCATGGTCACTGCCCGTCTTCTGTCCTCTTTCTCTTGAGAATACAAATAAAGCAGTTTTGTTAAATTCAGAGAACAATTAAATCCAACAATTCAAAATATATAATACTGTGGTTAAGGGGATTGAACACTTTTATAATGATAACTTATAAATGAAAATAGGAAATGTTCAGAGTGATTTTTAAGTTATATTTATAAGAGTTTCAGAAGAAGAATGAAAAGCAAAAGCAATATTATTTGATAGGTTAATACATAATGTTAGAATAAAGTTACAACAAATACACTACATTTATGATGAAGATGAATTATAGCCTATAGGTAACATCTTATTACTGATATTACCAAGTGATTGGTCGCAGTTCACTCTGCTGTTTGATGACTTAACATGAATCATTTGTATTCGGAACAGTTGTGGCAAAAAGTTAAATGTTGGTAAGAGCGAGATTTAAAGCCTTCACTATTGACATTTAAATGCACATTTAAGTTTTCTCTGAATACTTTGAATTCTTCCCTACACGGGCACAGATAAACAAAGTTTGACAAAGTTTCATTGAAACTGACAAACGTGCTAATAAGTAAGCTAACATGTTGTTTTTCTGACTATTTAGTCTGACCTGTTCTGATGAAGCCAAGCACGGGGGCTTATTCCACTCATGTAACCTTCAGATGAATTGTTCTTCCACAGCCCTGCCATGTGGAAGATATAAATTAGAGTCCGTTTAATCCCATGTTGATTATTTACAAAGCTAAGGCTAATAGATACAACGGGAGGGATAGTGACGGGTAATGTTGAGCAATAGTCCAGAGCATTGAGTTCCTGACTAGGGGGGTGTCAAAATGTATTAAAGAGAAAAGAAAGTCGTAATTTGCCGTTTTTGTTCATAGAGCATGAGGTTTAAATTTTAAAACACTATTACTCAAAAGTGAAGAATGATTGTAACCCTGTCTGTCATAAAATGGACAGTAAAACTACATTCCACTGCCGCTCACCCCCATTAAATTAATAGTCTGTTCTTCATTTTATGCTATGTAGAGGGAAATCAAAAGTTAGGCCAAATCCTACTGCGCGACATTAATGTGAAAGTTGAGTTACTGGTAACTTTCTCTTCAGATTCAGCTGAATACCACATATAACTTATAATCAAAAACAATAAAGTCATAACATATGATGCATTATTAGAAATTAAGCAACCTGGCAACATTTAAAGTCAATTGACTCTGAATTGACCTGTAATAGCAACAACATTAGTGATAAATGCATAATTAAAGATATGTTTTATAACCCAATAATACAACAAACATTATTCTTGCCATGGACAATTCTGAATAATGAGTACTTTTATATTTGGTCTATTTTGATGCTATTACTTTAACCTAAATATTATTTTTGAATGCAGTGCTTTTACTTATAACGGAGCATTTTGGTTGTTTACTACTTCTACTTTTACTTAAGTAAAAGATCAGAGCTATGTTTTATAAATGTTACTCAGCAAAAGCATATTTCTAAAAAAAATCATTGTTTTACATTATATTCCTACATTTGACCTTGCATCTCAGTTGGGATAAAGCATAACCTGCATTAATCACATACATTTTAGTGTCCAAATAATGTCTCTTACCAATAACGTTTGTCCTCTCTTGGATCCAGATGAAAGTAGTTCAATCAAGCAAGTTGTTTGGATCAGTTTGCTTTCTGCTCAAAACTTATCCAGGTCATTTCCCCTTTACAGAGCAGACAAACGCAGTTCTTCAACTTGTGTCGAAATCCACCACTGAGTGTTGTTTAAATATCCAGCAGACTCCACCTCTGATGTTGGACGTGAGGCTATGACTTACCTGCTTTTTCTGACATCATCCATTGAGGCAGATTAAAATGTGTACAGTACAGTGCTTGTACTGTATGTTGAATGTTTTATACCTGTAGTCATTTCATATTACGCCTTTGAAGTAGTAGACAGCAAAGTTAATCGATTTGTAGGACTCAACTGTGCATTTAAACTTTGCCACATAAACAGTTCTACCATTATGGCTCACACTTGATCCTCAGAAGTTGTACTGATGTTTACGGTGTGCTATAAACGCTTTGGAATCACATTATGAATGACACAAGCAAGGATTGGCCCAGAATTTAAAAAAATGTAATAGCTTTATGACCTGCACTCTATGAACTGACTTTGGACTCTGGCACATGTAACCTCATGAATACATGCATATATGTACATTTCAATCTTGACTGTTTATATGTACATATTTAGATTTATTTATGGACATGCTGTAAGCAACGTTTACCCATTCATGTTCAAAATGTCATATATTTAGGGCTAGCTACTGTTAACCTAATACTTATTATAGCAAACATTTGTTTTGTTCCTTGTGTTTTCTATGTTTTATTTTGCTTAGTACTTTTTTTTCTTTAAAAAAATATACATGAGAGAAACCAGGCAAATGTTTTTGTGTAAACAGAATGATTTTGAATCAGTTTAAAATAAACATAAATCAGAGGGTATGTTGAGTTGTTTTGAAACATTACTTTGTCTGTCATATAGCTATGAAGTACTATCTTAAATAACTCATCTAATTCTGTCTTAAAGTTTTTACCAGTCATGCAGTCAGGCGCAAAGGTCAGCAACAAAAACGTGACTTCATAATACGACGCGTTCATCATAAAAAATACCATATCAACCTTTTGTTGAACCAAATTACATCATTGCACCTCTGAGGGTTAATGAATGACTATATTAACTATATATTGTAAGATCTCTGTTTGCACCTGTGGCAAAGAAAACAAGGTGCTCATTTTGACACAGAATACCTCATTGTCCTATTATGACCTTCTTAAAACACACATTTCAGTACTGATAAACAGTTCCTACAGAGTACAAAGCCAAATTAGCAAAGTTAATATTGATTTCTCTGATGTTTATCCAAAACATATTTAGACATGGCATGACTGAAACATATAGCTTTGTATAAGGAGGTTGAATAATGAACACATTATGTCTCAATGACAAATATATGTTAAAGGTAATAGATTATGTGAATAATGGCGTACTTTTTGTATTTTATGTATTAACATGTGCTAAGACTTTTTGGCAGCGAAGCCAGAGGATGGGTGGTTTGCTGAGTCAAATATTTTTCTTTCAAACTCTATGCTATTCACCACATAGCCTTGCATGTTATTGCAGCTTTGTGAGAGTAAACAACACAATGTTATTGTACTGCCATGTCTCCCCAAGACTCAGCTGAAAAATACATTTGCCCTGAGGTAAAAAAGCACAAAGATTTGTGTGGAGTAATCATTTCATGGAAGCAATAAAGTGTAGTGGATTTTGGCATAGCCATCTTTATCCTTTGAGAAGAACAATATCAGACAGCTTTGTAGAAAATCCTTTCTCATGAACACTTCTCTCTTACGTCCAGCCCTGGCACACATGCATACACACACTCCCAACATTGGTTTGCCGTTGCAATTTCCTATGCAGGTGGCTAATTGTATCACGGGTGGAGGTCAGGAGCTTTATTTCCACCACATTGTTGGAAAGGTCTGATCAGTTAACTTATTTAGTATTTCAACATGTTGCGAAAAAGCTGAATTCTCCATCTGTTGATTATTTGTCACATGATCCTTACAAGCTTGCCAAATAATGTTTATAAAGCAATATATAATGTAAAGCCTCATATGATGCTCATTAAAGTAGATATCCTCCTGTAACTTTCTTTATTTTCTCAACATTTTAGTTTCACTCAGAAGGATTTGGTCTCTCAGGATTTAAGTCCCTTTAAACTAATTTAGACTCTGTATTATTATTACATTTCCAAACACACAGGTCTAACTTACCAGACCTCAGTATTGTTTTCAGGTCAAGTCATTACAGGCTGTCTTATGGTATGGGAGCCTCAGTTTTATTCTTTTATTAAATTAAAATCATCCAATTAAACACAGAGCAGATTTTCAGTTGTAGAACTTAATGCCCTCCAATAGTTTTGAAACGCAATGACTATTAACTGTTTCTATGGATGTTGTTTCCTCTTATCTTGACAGTTTGGGAGAAAGTAAATTACCTTATAGTCTTATAATGTATAAATATTAAAAAGGACAATGACACAGTTGAGCATTTGATATTGTAATTAAAAAACAGTTATAATAAATTAAAAGTGAAACATATTATGCCAAAGCAGCAAACAAACCAACAGGATTTCTTACTAGACTCACTGCTGCTGTGTACATGTGTGGCTCTGAGGTCATTGAAGCCAGTCCATCCAGCGTTATAATGACATAAATCCACTTGAGATTTTGTGGGCCACTGATTGTCAACTCCCTAGGCTATTGCCAAGCAGATCCTGTTCCATGCATAATAAAGCAAGTCATGGTCAAAAAACAAAGTGTGCACTTGAGCTTTCCCGCTCCAGCTATGACCGTGACGCAGGGAAGAACTGGTTGCCTTCTGCTCAAAATCCTAGAGTTTGTTGAATCATACCAGAAAACAATCTGCAGCAATAAATTCATGACTCTTTCCCATGTCATCCCATGTCTGCACACACATTCACACTTACATGCAGACAAACCATGTTCTGTAAACTGAGTAGGTTCTGCCAACTTGGTATCCTTCTAGATCTCCATTGGTGATCTATTCTGTCTAACTTTACACAAGCCAAAACAGATCACATGTGGGGCTCACTCACATTGCATCAGCCTGTCCACACAAGGGAATCAAATATATCAGGAGATCATATTATATTAAAAGGTGGTTCAGGCTTTGAGCTGTAGGGGAAACCACAGGACGGAGTTGACAGTGGCTAGTCTGAGACACCCTTCAGACATCATCAGGCTTCACAGAGGACAACTGGGAAATCCACATGGATGCAAGGGATCTCCAGCTTTATAATTCCCTAGAAAACACAAAAGAGATTACAATTAAAGCATGATAATACAGAGAGCTACCCTCGTTGTGAAAAGCTTTACTTTAGGCATTGTAATGTACTCACCTGAGATGTTAGGTTTTTGTGAATCCTTTTCAGCTTGGCTTTTTTACGTCCATTTTTTGTCACAATTGTCTCTTCATAGAACTCATGGGCCATGTCGCCATCTTCATCCAAGTACAGAGAGCTGCAGCAGAGAGACAAAATTAATGATATACATGTACACATCTATACATAACATGTCGTTTTCTAATGCTTTGCTCCGACATTAAACCTCCTTAAAATGTTTAACATTACAATATTTAAGAGGGTAGCTAAGACCATTCATTCATCATCAGCTAAAAACTATTTATGTGTCCACTCCTCCAGAAAAAAGGAGAAGAAATCATAATAATAATAATAATACATTTAATTTCTGAGTGTATTTTTCAGGTGCTCAAAGACACTTTACAGTGGTAGGAAATAAAATAAAATATAAATAGTTGAAATAGAATATTAAAACAACAACACCAGATTAAAAGCCAGTCTGAAGAGGTGTGTTTTGAAAGTGGGGAGGTCAGTGAAGTCTCACATGTTTTGTGGGAGTGAGTTCCAGAGGGAAGATTGAGTCGACACATTAAAACTAAAATTCATTAGTGGAATATATATCGCCTGATCTGACAAGCCCTTTTTAATGGTGTATTGCACCAGAAGATGTGTCGGAATTTTTGTGCAAAAGCAGGAATTTGTGGGTCCATAATACCAAGTGTAAACAACACTGGCTTCAAGTGAGGTTAAAACAGGTAGGATGAAGGCTATAAGATGCTGAGGTGAATGTACCTTCGTCTAGTTAACACAAAAGGTGTTGCGCCTGTGAAACTCCGAGCTCTTGCCATTGACTGCTCGTTTCCATCTTGGATTGGATCGTCTGCACCAACCGAGCCTGAAAAAGGCCAAAATCCTTTGGATTTGGAGCCGCTACCCCCCATCTTCAGCTGCAGCACATTATTTTCTTGGGTCACCAGACTGCCAGTAGTTATACAGTATCACTGTACAAGATGAAGAGGGACCTTCAAAAAAACACCTACAAAAATGACATGAAATAGAAGAGTTAAGTTACTTAGGCATTGTTTTATAATAATCACCTAACCAAAATAATCTACGATTAACATGGATTTTTTGGAAACCCAGAATAGTGATATCATAAACAATGACAATTACCGAAAATATGAGAAATACATCAATTGGGATTGTTTTTGATACAGCACCATAAAAAACACAATCTATAGCTCATTATTCTATAAACATTAACCATATTGCTTAAAGCTTACATAGGACACAAAATAAAGGACAAAGAGACACAGCTAATGTCGAGTTAGGATATATTTTGTGTCATATGCCCTATGTCAAAGTGCCAGAATATAGGAGGCCACTGACATGACAGTGCAACCAGACGATGCTACATTCAATAAATACACATTTTAAAAGGAAACACAAAGCCTGCTAATGTTACAAACCCGGATGTCTCAATATAATATGGGTACATTTGTTTTTTTAGAAATATAAACATCCTGAATAACGTTAGTCGGCTTTGCTTGTAGTCAAGAATGCTCGGTACCATTAGCATAGGTTATCTGAAGAGAACGGCTAATAAATCTAGCTTTCTTTGAGCAACAGCACCATTAAGACACTAGTACGGCTTGCATTAGTTACACTGGTTATGTCATTTTATGTCCTGCTTGCTGACATCACCACTGGCAAAATACAGTTAGCACTCTGTTACTAGCATTAGCCAGGTCAACATGTTTCCATCTGACAAAATAACGTTAAGTGACGCTGCCAAGGGCTAACGTTAACACTAACTTGTTTTATAACCAACATCCGTCGCTTAGCTTGGTGGAAACATACCTAAAGTGGGGTTTGTTGCGGTCGCAAGTATATAATGTTCCTTGATGAATGTGTCTTGTTGGGTTGCTAGATCTTTTCAAGATATCACCACACAGCTATGCTAACTGTTTATGCTAACTAATGGTATACTTTCTTCTTCTCCGTCTTTTTCTTTAGCGTCTGGTTAAGAGTACAAGGTAAGCTACCGCCATCACATGGACAACGTGTGGAAGTGTAAACAGGCGTAGTGAACAGTCTATGAGGAAAATCTGCTTATTAAAGGTTTTGCCTGTCCCTTTAACTATGCTTTAAAATAGAACATTATTTTTGTTAGTCTTAAACCCACAGTTAAGGGAAATGTAACTTTGTTTTGCTACCACCCCCTGAAAGCAATATTTCACTGCCTTTTTAACCCATACCGAGACCACGTTTGACCAGGTCTGTCAAAAAAACATACCATACCAAAAGTACATGTAGTATGTGTAATACTTTTGTGTACTTTTCATGGTTTCTGTTTGACCCATTTATAATATAATAATATTTATACATAATATAATTTATTTATGTAGTCGTTCAAATGTATCATACATTTTAACAGCACCTACATGCTTGGAGTTTTTGCCTAGCATTAATTGTGTGGCTGTTTAAGAGAAAATCCTTCCCTCCATTTATCAAACCTTTGACAAAAGAGTGGAGGTTGTTACAACAGCATATTAATATTAGGCTGTGGTTTTAAATGAGATATTCAACTGTAAAATATCAGTGTGACGTATAGTCACATTCTTTCATCTAGTGTACTTCAGCTTTGGCTTACCATGCTAGAATGTGAACGGCTAGTCTACACAGTCTAACAAACTGATTACTTCATGCACAGTTTCAACAAGGATATCATAAACACCAATTATTTATTATGATCTTTTTATTGGAAAGTTAGAATGTAAACAAATTGTTTCACATTATATCTTGCCCAAATTAATTTCCCAGGTTAATTAAAGTGCCAACATTTTAAAACAGCTTCACAGAAAATAAGGTCACATGATAAATGGACAATATACTATAAGTGTGTTTTAATACCACTATAAATAACCCAAACAAGTAGCATGGTTCTTCAAGAAAGACCTGTATTCACTCAAAGATTACCGATTATACACCCATTCAGTTCACAACAGTGGCTCAATGCGTACACATACTAGCAGCATCCCTCCTTCATAAACAGCATTTAATGAAAACAATGTCATTGTCTGAGCTCTTGCTTTCCCTTTTACCCTCATAATCCACAATACTATTTAAAGTGGGAGAGTGTTCTTCTTCATGTTAAAATATGGAGATTAGTTCAATCCTTCACAGTCAACCAGGAGTCGTAATCCTTTCCATCGCCTGCTTCGTGGTTTCCCTAGTGCGAGCGTAGCGCCTCTCAATCTGCCGCACATGTTCTTCCTCTTCACGCTTCAGGATTCGCAGAAAGTTGCACAACTCAGGTAAACTAAATGCATCCCACTGTGGAGGAGAGAAATGTCACATTATAATCGATATTATGTAACTGGCGTTTTCAGCTTATCAGAATCAGAAACAGAAACAGGTTTATTACCAGCAGGTAGGTTTACACGTAAGAGGAATTTGACTTGGTGTCATGGTGCATATAAACAGGAATTAAAAACACAGGTAGAGAACTAAAAAAACATTTCAAATAATTTAAAATATATAGTCAAATATAACAGTATTTACATTGAAATGGAATGAAATCGAGGAATACAATATGGTCTTTCATATGTATAGAAATGATCAGAGACAAATTAAAACTTACATTTACTTCCCCTGTCTCATTCTCCTTCAATATAAGGGTCAAGACCTTTTCACTGGGGCCAGCACACAGGCGCAGGTGGAGGGGGCGCTCATCATTAGGCAGTTTACGCATGTACACTGCAGGGAATAAAACACAGCAGCATAGAACTTAATGCCTTATTCTGTTTTGTTTTGTAGTAACTACGTGTTTTGAGTTTTCTACCTTGACTATGTCTCTCTGAGCGTTCAAACAGGGCAAACTTGGCCGGGTTGTCCACCACAGTAAACTTGTTGAGTAGTGCCTCGATGACTTCTCGCACTCGTGTTTGGGAGCTTATATGCAGGTGCTTGGCAGTGTCTTTAGGGAGGTAGAAAGATGTCCGCCGTTTCATCCGTCGGCCCTGCTGATCTTCCTCCTGTGTTGAGCACGAGTTCTCAGCAGGAGGGAGGGAGATAGGACGGACTAACTGAAAGTGGACCTTGATGAATCCAGTGTAGGACCCATCTTTATTCTGCAAAGTAGAGATATATATTGTAAGAATGGGAGTTTAATGGTCTGCAAATTGTTATTTCCAAATACAATTCAAGTACACATTTGTGCATAAATGAATATTGAGAGAAAATAGATGTATTAGTCACTCACAGCCACCATGTAGAGATTGCTGTTGATCTGTGCATTATACTCTTTAATCTTATGTTGAATCTCACTGGGCGTCAGCTCCTGTTTACCCGAATCGATCAGCTCATCCTAAAAAGAAAACAGCAGGTACATACAGAAAATAAGCCACCTAATGTCAGCAGAGAGCTTGTCCTCAAAAGTGAGAAAGTGAAAGTGAAAGAGAACAGAAGCATTGAAATGAAAGTAAAATACTTTCAAGCATTTTGTCACTAGTTAAACAAGAAATATGCAATTCTGTAAAGGTAAAAGTAAGTCAAAATAGCTTTGTGTTTGAAAAATGATAAATTATGCCATAGCCTCACCGATGATCTTCTGACCTTCTGAAAGAAAGATGTATGAGCAGTAAAATACACTTCCAGGCCTGAGCTAGTGTCCTCCTGACTGATAAACATGTCACTTGCTGCTGCGCTATCCCGGGTCATCTCTGAAGGACTTGGTTAGATCTTTGTCCTTGCCAAAATCTTAGTATCTCATACTGATTGTATGTCAGAATGAGTTTTTCCCTGTCTCTCTCCTGCTGTCGAGACCTGATTCCACTCTTTTGACCTCAGCATTTACATTTGCTCCTCCCTGACCATAAAACCTCACAATGATGTTTAAAAAGGCCGGCCAATACCCTGAGGAGATGTGCTAAAACTCTCCTGGAAGCAACACTTTCACCTAATGTTATTGTTGATGTGTTGGTACATATTAACATTAAGATGTATTGTAGTTTCCTAATATATAGGTTAGAATTCAAGCATTTCAACACTGATTGATTAGTAAGTTAGTTAAAAGAGACCTTATTACAGTCTGAATGCATGTCAAACAGCCATATTAGGCTATTTTTGCTCAATTGTTAAGTGTCTATACTATAGGATCAAAATGATTACCATGATCCCATAGGCATCCAGGAATTTAGCAAAACCAAGCATGAAAACTATGGGGGATGTGGGGCACCTTTCCCCAAGCTTTGTCTAAGGGGGAGATCCACAGTCTGGGGCTTTTAAACCGCTGGTGTATTGGGACATTATTTAGGGCTTCAAAATGTCACATTTTTTTCAGTTTTTTGCTGAATGTCCCATTGGAATGTATGGTGTACTTTATGTTTTGGATGGGCTGAAAAATGAAAATGTCGATGAATCCTTTAATTATCTGATAACTTGGTGCTGGTCCATTTTTAACCTGTGGTTCTAAAATAAATGCAGCTGTTTTATTGTGAAGTTGTCCCCTCCCCTCAGCTCTCTCCTACTCAGATGCAGGACAATGTGAAGGCAATAAAACCAGTATATAGAGGACATATGGCATGGGGATACTCAGTGAATCTGGGAGCCTCCATCTGCTTTGACCTACCCACCAAAAACCATCCGATGAAGACTTTCTATACAAATTTAGAAAATGTAAGATTGTAGGTCTGATCCTCACCACATTCGTATCTGTTTCGAGGGAGTCCACAGAGAAATCTTCCTCGTCTGGTAACAAACTTCCATCTGTGCTGCAGTCCAGCTGGATAAATAGTCGGCAGCGGTGGTGACAAGTGTAACTGCAGTCTGAGAAAAAAGAAAAAGAAGGAAATGTCTGTGAGTTATGCTCATGTTTGATATTTGATGCAAATTGCAATGTTTCTAAAGGTCGCTATAGCATTGAATTTCTCTGTTGAACTGGGACAAAGTCAAATGATGTACACACACAAATGCATTCCCAGGAACTATACTGTGTCATGAAGCTTGCCAGAACTTCCTTAAGATTAGGAAATACTCTGTGAAAGTATCTCATGAATGGAAAAATAACATGAGCATCCTGAGGCCATGGTGATATAGAAGATGAAGACAATGTCACATCTCTGAATGCATTAGAGAGAGAGGACTTATATTATGTGGTTATTGAGTTGATTTGGGCCATGGTTCGAGAACATTTTAAGACATTTCTAATAAGGTTGAAGATTTTAACTCCATACTAGTGTTCTTTACAAATATTGAGTAAGAGAAAACGATGGTTCACAATTCCTATTATTAAGCACAAATGCAAGAATGATGATACCAGCTTAATATACTGGACTTCCCGTTATCTCATGCAAAAAAAGATTAATAGGCTGGTTGCATCTCTCTAGGTCAATGGTTGCAGAAAAGTATTCTTAAATACTTAGTTTGTTGGGGACTCTTTTCGACCGTGGATTTAAACACATACAACTGGACCATGAATGTGAGCTTGACTTAAACTAAACTAAACTACAGTGCTTAGTTGATACATTTCAAACAGTCACATAACAGATGTCTACGGCACAGATGAAAAATAAAGAATATTACCAAACAAATTCAGATGAAGAGTGTACTCACTGGCACAGCGTAAACTTTGCTTATAGATGCCCCAGATGAATTCTCCACACTGGTCACACCAGGTGAGATGGGTGTGACTGTATGGATGGAAGTCATGACCCACTCCAGCTCGTCCCATCTGACCCCGGGGGGCCTCGATGCTGACACTGTCTCCGACCAGACGGACCACATGGCTCGGCTGACCTGGGTTTACAGAGGGCGGGGCCGTTGGGGCCGCAGGAGCAGCCAGCTCAATGGTATCATTTGCACTGAGGTCCTTCAGTTCAATCAACTCACATTTAGACATCCTGTCCCTGATGCAGACTCTGACATTTCAAGTAATCACTTGCAGTCCATTAGCTAGTGTGGGTATAAATCCAGCTCTGGGAGGAGACAGCATTAGTATGGTGCATCCTTAATGCGGATGTTGTGAATTTCGAGCTCTGCTCAGTCTGCAGTTCAGTTTTTTCAATTTAGTCCAGATCAGTGCAGAGAAATGGTGGTTTCTAAATCCAGAGAAGCTGAAAAAAGGTTTTAAATCATACACAATACAATTAGTAAATGTATGTGTAAGATTCACATACATCAGATTCCATTTAGGCAAAACATACCGTACACAAGAAATGAATGTATGATGTATAACAGCTCAAAAAATTGAAAAAAACAAGAGATTAACCTTATTCATCTGATGTGAGGATTTATATGATTATGATAAAATGTGGGACAAGATGACTGATATAATCCTCTGCAATCCCAGGGCAACTCAAACTGTTTGTCTGTCCATGCTAAAGTATACCAGTACCAGAGGTGCGAGAAGTACCCAGATCTTGTACTTAAGTAAAAGTAGAAGTAAAGGTCTTGCATTCAAAATGTTACCCAAGTAAAAATACAAAAGTATTGCCATCAAAATATACTTAAGTACCAAAAGTAAAAGTACTTATTATGCAGATTGGTCCCTTACAGAATCGTATATATTATATGTTTTGATTATTATGTTTAGCATTATTGATGCATTAATGTGTTTATTAAAGCTGGTAAAGGTGCAGCTAGTTTTAATTACTTCATTTGCTGCTGGGTAGCTTGTGAATTAATTCCAGGTGTAACTAAAGTCTGATTTAAGTGTTGATCATATCATTTATCATTAATCCAAATCTGCAAAGTAACTAAAGGTATTAAATAAATGTAGTGGAGTAAAAGTACAATATTTACCTACAAAGTAAAACAATATGGTACTTAAGTACATTACTTGAGTACATGTACTTAGTTACTTAACACCCCTGGCCAGTACAATTGTATCCAACAATTCAGAAACCAGAGAACTATCTTAAATGTATTTCTACAGCCATGCATGTTTTTTAGACTCTCGTGCATAACAACTCTGCTAAATGTGTATAACACAGTGGTGGAATATCCTGTTGTAATGTAAAATACTTAACTTTATTTATGTTTGTTTTCTACACATCTCCTCCACTATGTTATTGTAAATTACAGAACATATCTTGATACTCAGATTAGGTTACTGATTACATTTAGTTTTACAGATAGTAATTGTACCGCCATACACTTTTAAAGTGACCCCAACCCTGCATGGAAGGAAATGAATACATCCTCCAGATTGTAAATAGGATGAATGCGTGTAAACTGTTCTTGGGTGCATCAGAAACTCAGTTTCATTAGTTTCCCAGGGCAGCATTGTGATTTGAATACGAACAACACGGGGCTCTATCTGCCAAGTGGGTCACCACCATGGTCACCACACGGTGCAATTATCCTCGCAGGGCAACAAGAACATATTGTAACCGGGATCATCCGACCCGAGCAGCACAGCCTGCTACTTTAGTCAATAGATTGAAACTACGCATACATGGCTAGATCATTAAAGTTTATATTCTTCCTTTAATTCTGCATTTGTCATGGTTGCGAAGTGCAGCTCAGTAACGGGTCAGACCGGTAATCCTCTCCGAGAATGGGACAAACAACTCAGTTGACAGTCACACACGAGCAAGTGTTCTGATTTCCTGATAGAAGAGGAGTTAAAATAACCTTACCTCGTTTAATTCATCCTCGCCACTCATCGTAGAGTAGATTTGAGATAGGCTGCAGTTTTGTCGTTTGTACTAACACCGACGGTCCCTCGCCCGCTCGCCCCTCGCGCGCACTTCAATTTGCGCATGCACAATGTGACCGTGGGATTACCGTCTAATCCGGTATGTGAATAAAGTATCCTGAGGGGAGCCCCCTCTGTCGTCACACAGCACTGATTAACTAAAACATGTGTACAGTGATGGGTCAATATCATAATAAACTTGTAGTCCATAAATTGTAGGTTTTGAAATAATACTTTTTTTTTTTTTAAGCAAGCCTATATATATATATATATACATACTGTGCTAATCAATTCTTTATAGTTATTTTAAAAAAACGACGTTATTAACATTTATAGTACATTTATAGTTTCTTTTATAACTAATTAAATAAAAACATTACATTAGAAATTATAAGCATATAAAATCAATATATTCGTTATAGGCTACTGTTGCTCTTATAACACTGTATGTAAATAATTATTTATTGGTCATTAATAAAGCCTTATAATGTGTACACCTATACAAATAGCCTACATATAAATGAAATAAGTATTTTGGCACATTTTGTATATTCTGCGTTTAGGTCCGTTTGTATATTTTATCTTAATGTAAGAAAAACATGCAAAAGGTACGTGAGAAGGTAAATTGCAGTTAAAACCTATGCGATCCATACAAAACAATTGCACAGATGAATCATTTTGTAACGCCCCAAAAAATCACAGGAAATGTTAGACTTTTGTCGAAAAGGGATTTAGTATGTAATGTGCTTTAATTTATATAACCTGACACAGACATACGGATTCACTTTTTTTCAAATGATGGTCAATCTTATTTTGGAAAGAATAGACTCTTTAATGTTTAATTATAGACCATTTGGAAATCACTCAATGGGGAAAAAGCCTCCAGGCTTAAATATGGGGGAGGATGGTGAAGGGCTCTTGTTATCTGTTTCAAACCAGACATTTTGGAATAAAATTAGCTTTAGACTACCACTCTCTTATTTTCTTCACAGTTATTTTTCAGTCCATGTAGCAAGTAAATACAGTAACCACTATCAACAATAATGTTTCAACCATAATGATTAACATTAGGAACAAAGTTAATTTGAGTCATGTGTGGCTTCATTTTATTGGCCAAACATTAAAATGATAATTTGTTCACCCAGTAATGAAACAAGAATTGTCTAATGGCTCTTGTTCATCACTAGGCATTTCAAAAATAAATTGTGTTCAGCCATTGATAGATACTTAAAAATGTAATGAATTGACCAATTACACTGATGGTGGCAACCTGCATTATGAGTTTTTTTTTCTTTCATAAAAAACCCTAAAGGATAGTTTGTGCTAATACTTCTGTACTTTTCTTCAATGGACATTTTGAATGGACGATTTATTTGGCATTTTCTTATTAACTAAATGACAATGCAGTTTTAGTGCTATAAGAAGATGATTACAATACTTCTTTCACTGTTTAGAAGTCAAGTAGACGTAAAGATTGGATGCATTATAATTCTGATTCTCATATGGACTTGACACATGGGAGGTAGATCTTTTTATAAGCTATTATTTTTGATGGTAAATCTTACTGCCACCATCTGGAGAAAGCGCATGAGTTATGAGTATGGGTCATAGGAAACCACAAGTCTGGCTTTTCTGGAAAACATTGAAACAAAAGCAACACCCAATGTAGGTTTACATAAACACAGTAACAATCTATCCTTTGACTTTTGATATGTTGAATAGAACATCTGTCCCTATGGTTGGTGGGCATAATGTGCCAATAATATAATCTGTGTGTAAAACAGACAGAAAACAAAGAAAGGGATGTCCTGAATAAACATGTTGTTGTTTTTTTGCTCTGTGTGCCCAGTGTGTGGAGGCAGTGCAGAGTCACAAGCTTATCGGAGAGTAATTGGAGCACAATAACTTGTGAACAGCTGACCAGTGAGGGTCCACTGAACTGTTAGGTAATGTGGAGTGGGTGCTAGACCATTAGTCCCAGGCATCACATCCTACTCTGATTTACAGACTTTGTTTAGACATGTAAATGATATCCCAATTTATGTTCACAACTTTAAATACAACTCTGTGCCTTCAGCTCCAAGTTTCATGAAACTAGAAAAAAAAAGTGTTTTAGCTAAATGTGTGTGGGAAATCTTTGAAGAGAGGCATCCACGTCAGCTGAGGAGCTTCAAGTTGTATTTCCGGTTATTCCGATTTCACAATAAATGCTTTTGGAAAGCTATTTATTTTCATTGAAATAGATATGGACCCACTGCTAAAACTCTTCTTCACCTACAATACAAAGCTGAATTATAATCGTTCAATTGATTGAGGGACGGTCAAATCAATAATAAAACTATATGACCATAAAAAACGTGTAATTGTATTTTGAGGTGAAGTGGTTTATAGAGAGCTTTATTCTGAAATTAACCAACCGGAAGTTATATTTTCCTAACCGGTAGACATGCATAACAACCTTCTTATTATACATCCATGATAACAACGTGTTGGACTTTATCCATACATCTATTATTGGTAAAGTTATCTTACTGCTTTGCAACACTCATCTGGTAAGGTAGACTTGTGTCGAAAAGTCCCGTCTTCTGGCTTTAACACGACTTCCGCTTCTGTTATTCTGAAGCTGCGAGTTCACTTCAGGTGACAAACATACACTGTAGACGTAAACCTGTGGGGTGGTCGGGAGCAGGGGTGCCTCCCAAATTCACATAAATTGTCTTTATCATGGCGTACAACAAAGAGCCTGAATCTGAGCCTCGAATCTACGGTTATACCAGAACAATTACCACAGTGCTCACACACTTTATGTGCATCTCCTTCACTGTGTTCATTGCAGTTCTGTCTCGACCGGGTACAAGTGAGTCTTATTCTTATTTTTCAAACATATTCATATATTCATATTCATAATAGAAGTAGCCTACTTTTGGCTTGCCAGGTATTCATTTGACTATGTGTTTTTTTTGTCATAGGTTTGTTTTCTTGGCATCCCTTCTTCATGACACTGGCTGTAAGTTGAACGTTTAAGTTTCATATCTTTCCAGCTGTTAACACATGAAATAAGTTCAATCAAACGTTTGAATTACACTTTTTTTGAGCTGTTAATCACTTAATCATTTTTTGTAGGTAATTGAAACATATCAGACAACTATTTTGATAACTAATTCATTTTCTAGAAAACCAGCTTCAACACCTGTAATTTGAAAATGTGATGGATATGTTATATTTTATAGACCAACATTTGAATCAACAATGACATTTTTGCTTATTGCAGCCCCGTTAATTTGTTTCCCCTCTCCCACTAGTTTTCCTTCTTCATGACAGAAGCCATACTCCTGTTCTCCCCCCACGGCTCCCTCGCCCAAAAGTTTCCACACAAGACAAAAGGTCGTGCTCACTGGATCCTGCAGTGTCTCTGTGTTACCTGTGCAGTCCTGGGTCTGGCAGCCATCGTTTACAACAAACACCTGAATGGTAAACCCCACTTCACCTCGTGGCATGGTCTGCTGGGCCTGCTCACAGTGTGTGTGGTGGGGCTGCAGTCTGTGGCAGCACTGCCTCTCATCTACCACTTTCTGGCCAAAGGTTGGTCCCTGGCCAAACTCAAACGCTACCATGCAGCATCCGGGCTCGTCACGTACCTGCTGGGCAGTGGCAGCCTGCTCCTGGGCCTCAGCTCTGCATGGTTCACTGCGTCTGTCGGGGAATACACCTGGTACCTGTCAGCACTCTGCACTGCTCTCAATGCCCTTGTCATAATGAACCAAGTCAGCAGGGCGTACACGGCAAAAAAACGGTTGCAGTCCTGAAAGAAGACACAGAATTGACCATTTAATATAACACTCACTGAATACTAAAGCAAGGTTGGCCTCAACGATTTCATTTTTCAGGCACATGCAATCAGCTTGATTTGCATGAAAGTAAAAAAGGAACTAATGTCTGCAGCTACGTGCCTGTTGGTTATATCATGAAGCACCAGTGCCAAATGTTCAATAATTTTGTTTTTTTACATGCTATATACAGGTCCATTGAGGTCATTTCATCTGCATATCTTTTGTTGGGATTTGGGTCATCTTTAATTTGTTTGAGTTTTCATATGAAATGGTACACATGTTGAGCTTCAGTTTGACTGAATACTTCCAAAATGATTAATATTCCAATCAGCCTCAGCTCTACGTTATTAACAGGTAAAATAACTGATATTAGAATGCTAACATGCTTAATTAAACTGGTGAACATCACAAACAGTACACACCTGTTAAGAATCAGTGTGCGAGCATGCTTGCGTTCAAATTTGGCAAAGAATCGCTGTGCAGCAGAACTTCTGGCATCGCTCAAATTGCATGAACAGTGTTTATGCAATCGTGCAAATGGCCTTGAGTTATTGTTGAACTATTACAACTCAGGTTGCCCATCCTGCCTTCTGACTTTTTTTGATGCCATTGACTATTTCTTTAGCCACATTTTGAATACAAAATATGTATCGTACTGAATGTATGTTGTAAATTTAAAAGCATTTTCAAATGATTCACAATGCAATAGAAGAGTGTTTTATTGTTAAAATAACATTGATAACACAGTCATATTCTGCTCGCTCTAGGCTGCATTTATGAAATTCTTACTGGATCAGTCATCAATGGGTCAAGGTGAACACAAAGTTAAAAAACATGATTACAAAAAAAGAATGTATTTTCCATCATAAATAAATAACTTTCAGACGTTGAAAAAACGGAAACTGTCAGGTGAGTGAACACCAATAGGAAGTTATAAAAAACATTTAAAAAGAAGAAATATTTAATTAAACAGAAATTCCACATATTTGACAAGAAATGGCAGACAGGTTATGTTTTATAAACTGATAATTTCCAAGACTCAAATGCAAAGCGTTTTTCGAGAAGACTGAGAATAAAGACATGGCGTCAGTATGATTTACCTCATACAGTTAACCAACAGATATGATACTTTTTCAAAGTGCCAGGTCAAACACAAACCAATTCAAGATTCCAAGACATGGGGAAGAAAACTGGATATATGAAAAAAAGGAAACATCCAGAACTACCACTGGAAGCAGCAATTAGTAACAGAAAGTGAACAGTACGTAGTCTGGGAGAAAAAGGTCCCCGCAAGGAAAGAACATCTACAAAAAAATACTTAAAAAAAAGGGAATGATCTGTTGTCTCAGGTTATCCAGTTTTTCTATAAAATGCTAACAACCACTGCATCTGGCCTATTTTACCAACAGAGGAGAAAGACTTGTCTAAATCTACATACCTTGAGGTGTCTTCACAACACAGAAACACAAGGCTACAGAGAACAGCAAAGACCTAAACCCCCTAAAGCACCGCTGACCTACACTGACTGACACGACTGACAGAAGCTACTTACACAGCACTGCTTTAAAAGACGCACCTCTGTAAAAAGCTACCACGTTATGACAGTGTCATTTTGGTAAGGCCACCATAACACCGGACCTGGTTCTGCCAGTCAGAGGTGGTCGTAGTGAAATGCTTGATACCCCTTTTGATGGACATTGACTCAGGCTGCATGAATGCAATGTGTTCTACGGTTTGGTTGCGTTTGTTTTTTAGCAAGGGGCTGAAAAAAAGGGTCAAATCTACATGTATAGTCGAGGCTAACTGATTTGTAAAAACTGCAACAAAAGAGGCGACAGAGTAAGCAACATTAAACTCCTTTTGTGTTCCTTTTGACTTTCACACTTCTCTATATCACAATCCTGAATCTGCCCAACACTTTTCTTTTTTTTGTTTGACACCAACGGCCTAAATACTCACTATCTCTAACAGATTTGTAAAAGAATGCACTAAGATTCTAAAAAATGCTAAGACTCAAGACCCCTTTGTGTTATATAAGGCTAAATATGAAAGAACACAGTCCGAATCCATGTTTCAAGCTCCTGCGTTATCAAAGGCTAACAGTAAATACATTCATTTTAGTTTTAAGGGGGTAAAAAAGGTAAATTATAAAGTTGAACGTAAATGTGTTTCCTCAGCATAAATGGAAGAGCATGGTTATCATCATGATTGTAATAATAAAACCTCTCCCTACAACCAAAATCTACACACTGCACATTATTGACTTGCAATATAAACAATGATAATGACTGCTATATACAAAGTATCAACATATTCAGTTATAGTATCACACATAATATCCTTTCAATAGAGGATGCTACAACGCCTATCAAATTGCTAAAGAGTAAAGTATTCTCAGAGAGCCTAAGATTTCTGGGTTAAAAGGTAAGCTTAGTAGGATTTTTAAAAACATTAAGCCCACGTTCTGTGGCCATTGTGAGTTATTTGTACTTTTTAACTTTCTAGTATTGTTTACTAGAAAGGAAACTGTGCTGAAAGAAAATGATTGTGTTATTATACGTGTTCAGCAGGTGAGTACTGCTGACATGTGGAACAGTAAGTCAAATTTTGGTTTGTACTAGACTGTTTCACAGCAATATATCATGAGGCAATCGGACATGAAACTGTTTTCATCACGACTTGTTCTGAACTCAGGGGAAATAAAAATAAAGGAAAGACGAGGCCTCGCTTTAAAGTGTAGCAGGTGAGGCTAGAAAGCCTCGGAAAGATTCAGCTGGTCCCCAAACGACAAAGTTCTGATCCCACTGCTCTGATGCTTCAGCTGAACAAGTCCCAGATATTCAGCATAAGGATGTTACTCTGACTTCGAAAAGTCATTGAGGTACAAGTTCTCCTTGCAGGTGAGAATCTGTGTGTGTGTGTGTGTGTGTTTGTGTATAGTTTCATGAGACCATTAGGAATGGTATTACAGTTCACTTCACTGGTGATTATGTAAAACTGATTTAAAGGGCTTGAAACACATTTAACTTATCACAAGCTTTTCCAAATTCTAAGTTGTTGTTTTGGATTAACAATTATCTTTTTAGTTCCTGAAAAGTTGTATTTATTTGTGCATTTAAAATCTAGATGACCAGTTAAGTCATCATTGTGGAATTTCCCTTTCTGTCTTCTTTATGATGTAATTACATATTCAGAGTATGCCAATACGCCTGTCTATCAATCATCAGTTCCTACAAATCGGGTAGATACTATAACAGTCAATCTAGTTTTAAAACTTTAAAAGATTAAACTGTTTTATGTGTGAAACTGCATCTCCAGGGCTTCTTAGGTCTCTACTGTCCTGTCACCTCAATAACATCGTCATCAGAACTACTGCCGCCGTTCTCCGTACTCTGATGTATGTCGGGTTGGGTGAGAGCTGCCCCCAAAAGGCTGGAAGTTGGGTTGTTGAAATGGGAGAGGAAACTGGATGTGTTAGAGCTGGAGTTGGGCGTTTGAAATCCCCCTGAAAGGAGAGGGCTGGAGAACATCCTGGAGTCAGAGAGCAGCGACTGACTGTAGTTGAGGGGGAAGCCTGACGAGAGCAGGTCGGCCATGTTGGGATTCATCAGGTAGGGAGGCAGAGAACCTGAAGCCAGGGAGGAGGAAGTCGCTGTCGAGGGTGTAGATGACATAGGGATGGTGGCCGAAGCAGAGGAGTAAACGGGAGACATAGAGGAGGACGAGGAGGAGGGGGTGGGCAGGTGTCCGTTCCCTGTGGACGGCTGTCTCAGTAGGTCCGAGCCTGCAGAGGTGAACATGGTCTGTAGGTCAGCCAGGGTTTGTCCTGGAGCCTGAAGGAATGAAGACCCTCCACTACCACCCATTAGAAGAGGGTGATTCATGTGACCCATGTTCCCCAGCAGGGAGGAGGAGTTCAGACCACCGGGGGGGAAACTGAGCCCACTGGAGCCCATGGACAGTCCGGGGTAACGTGATGCAGCAGAAGAAGAGCGTTTGCCTCCTATCGGTGTGTTGCCCTGGCTCTCAGTGCTTCTGCGCTTGCTGCCACGCATCTCTAAAGCGGAGCTCAAGAGGTCTTCACCGAGTTGCCTGCTCAGATCACCGCTCTGGTTGTATTGCGAACTTCCTTCATCACCCGCTGGTAATGCCAACATTTCTGACGGTAACTCATTCCCACTGCCGGCATTGGCATCTCCTGTGGATGAAGTGTAGCGGCTGAGCTCTCTGAGGATCTCCGAGCTCAAGGGAGAGGACGGCCGCCCATCCTCGCTGGGAGAGCCCTGCTGATGATCCGCAGGCGACAAACAGCCGTTACTGAGCGCATTGATATGGGAGCCCTGGATGTCTGTGGGGTGGGGGGGGAGAGAGCAATGCAGCCATGAAATGTCAGGATAGACGTACAGTGTCCTACAGGGTCGTGGAAATAAGATGGTGTAGCCCAATTATATTTATATATTTATTTGCACAGTTAATAGAAACTAATAGCCAAATCATGGGAACAAGTATAAACTCTGATTCCTTTTATTTTTTTCCCTTTAAAATGTCTTATTTGTCATACTTAGGATTTAAACATTAGCTCCGTTTGCATGGTCTGTTTGTGGGGTTAAAGCAAACAATGATGGAAAGGGACTTTTTTTAGCATAATTTAAAAGCTCAACTACTAACACATCCATCTGCTGATAGTAACAAGACAAAATAGGCAGCTACCTTTTAATTGATTTGTATAAGGCCATGTATAGAGCCACAGAAGACAGTATACAACTCTGGTTGTATAGTATTTATCATGGCAAATTAACATTGTGTGAGAACCAAGAATAATAAATATGTGTTTGTACCTCTTGAGGCAGCAGAGCCCCCAACAGCTTGCCTAGTGATTTTTCCAGATCGAATAGCAAAAATCCTTCCATCATTTGTCCTAATGTAGGTACCTGTGTTTTAGAAAATATCAATAGATGGAGTAAATCACTCAAAATATTTTTTTATAAAAAGGAGAAAATGTATTCTTTGTTGCAACTACCTTTTGATCCTCTGATCACATGGATGCTCTCTCCTGCAGAAATTCTAGCTTGAACGTCTGTTGTGCTGTTGGATCCTGGGATTACAATATCTGTAGATTTGGACAAAATGGCCTACATTAGTCACAAAGTCTACAGTCACAAAACATAATTAATGTTTTTTTTTTATCTTTAAATACTAAAAGGTTGTAACATTTGGGAGTTGTTGTGCGATTTAATCATTAACTGAGATTATACATACCAGTTGTGGTGGTAATCCTTTGCACATAAACTCCAGCTTTCTGCAAGAAGTTGACAGGCAGGCTGCCCACAGAGCTGGAGCCAGACATGCCCATGCCGGCCTGGCGGGGCATCATGGGAATTGGGGTTGACTGGATGGGTCTAACACTTGCCACAGGCTTGTCATCCGGCCGCACCATGGCACGCCTGAAAATATGAGGGCTGAATTCATGAGATGCTCACAAACAATTGTGTCCCGTCTAATGGAAATTCATGAGAGAAAGACGATGGACTCACAAAAAGTTACAACCTCAAACATATAAATGTAATGGCGGTTTTATTTTTGGTCGTGTTTTTGCCAGTAAGGATGGCAGACACTCATTTTCAGATTTGAGGTGGATGACTCATATATTTTGGTGGAGGAAAATGTAAATGAACAATGATCCAAAACTCACCAGCCGCGTTGGGTAAATGCCGGTATGTTTGTGAGTGTCTGATCACTCGTTGGGTAATAAGGGGCGTATGAGGGGCGAGAGTAGGGCACAGAGGCTCGTTTCTCATCCTCATAGCTCTTCTTGGCCGCTCTCTTCTCTGCTTTGGTCAGTTTCGACTCTTTCCGGTCCACCAGCAGAGATTCGTGATGAAAAGGTTGCTGAGGAGATACATGGAAATAGGGAAATTCAATTACCGATCATCTGTTGGATCTGATTCTACATAAAATGTTGTTGTACTGTGCAGCCCAAGACCACTGGGCATAAAGTCAACATATACAAAAAAGTCCCACGCAAGGACAATACTTGAGTGAGTTTGAGCTCAGTTATCTCATACCTTCATTTAAACACCAAACCTAAAAAACGGCCTTTCTTGCAGAGTTTGGACTCAAAGGTAAGACCATCATGCAGCTGTACCTTGGAGATGAGGTGTGGGTAAAGCTGACAAGCGTTTTGCATCACAGCTTCAAACTCATCCCCCATGTGATGAGGGCTTTGATCAGGTTCTTCTTCCACAAAATGCAGCAGCGACTCCACTTCCTTACGGGTGAAGTTCAGCACTGGGTTCAGGTCGTCAACCACACGGTCTTTAAACAAACGCAGAAAAACAGCTTCTTAAGACTTGATCATATTTATGTAGATGTTAAATACGGCACACATCAGATCTGCTTGAGTATGTCTTAATAGTGCTTGCATAAGGGACAATAACACAATAAATATCAATATTTGTTTAATAGTTACTAGTGAAATGAAGCCTTCAAATAAAATACCAATAGGTAAAAGTGAAGCTTTCCCGTGTCCATCTTATTGACTGCACTCTAACATGTTATAGCTGGCATTTATAGTTGTTCTGTGTTTTCAGCTTACTATTTTATTCCCCTTCCGCATGAGCCTGACCCTGTGCATTTGTGAAAATGATAATTAAACCCAATTTCTATCAAACAAATGATTCACATGTGTAAAGTTCTCTTACCGGACATGCCCTGTTTGGAGACTTGTCTGTCATAGATCTTTTTCTCCAAGGTGAAATCACAGACGAGGCGGTAAATGAAGCAAGGTTTCCTCTGACCGTAGCGGTACACCCGACACACCGCCTGAGCATCGTGACACGGGTTCCAGGAGGCATCAAACACAACGACACGGTTGGCCCCGATCAGATTTACCCCCAAGCATCCCGCCCTGCAAGGAACAAACCAAATTATTGATTGAACATTTCTGCCAGTGCACAGAGGAAAGGTACACATCTTTAGAAAATAGAAAGCAGGGACATATACCTTGTAGAAAGTAGGAAGACCCATGCTGCGGTGTTCTCTGGGTCATTGAATTGATTTATAAGGCGCTCTCTTTCTGAGGCAGATGTACTCCCATCCAGTCCTGTAGACAGACACACATCATTTCTCAGCACTAAAGCACCTGAGCACACTTTCACTTGCAGTGTATCATGGCATTCTTTACATTGAAAACTTAACATACTGTAAAGCTGGGAGACTTTGAATAATCTTTTATATTGTATTCCTATTAGAGAGGTACTGATTCAGCTTGGCAAAATATTAAAACAAAAACATAAAAAAGGGAATTTACCACTATCCCTTGGGAATTAAAGTACATACAAAAAAAGACGAATTCCAAACAGTTATGTAAAATTGAAAACATATTAATCCTAAACTTGTTTCCAGAGCACAGTATGCCTAGAAAAATGGTGAAATGGGTGAATTTGAGGAATTGCAGCCAGTGTCACTAAATTAATAAAGACACATTTGAATCTTCAGTGGAGATGAGCACACTCCTGCAGGGTTGCTGGTTTGGAAGAGAGAGAGGAGAGAGGGCAGGGATTGGATGACTCACTGTAGTAATTGAGGTTGCGAACCCAGGTTTGCCTCTGGGTGTCAGGGGGGGTGACGCCTGCTGGCATGGGTCTCTTTGCTAAGAACTCCTCAATGACCGTCAGGGTGGACAAACTTTGACTAGAGTACAAAGCAAAAACACATTAGGTGTTAAGAAAATAAAGGGCACTGTATTATGAAATAAGTTAAAGTCATGAAATAACAATTAATCCGTCAGTCAGATGTTTTTAATGACACAGAATTGCTGCATGCACATATGGCTACAAAACAACTTTTCGTTTAACAATTTGGTTTAACTGTGACATTTCTGTTACAAGGAAAATCGTATAAGACGTAGGAGGATTCAAAGATTAATTTCTTACAGTTAGCATAAAGCTCTGAAAGTTACAAATCAGTCTGATTAAGGAGCTGAAATGAAAAGACAGTCAACCTCTCCTCTAAGCTGCTTACTGCTGGATTTGTGTGTAACGCTATGTACGCTGGTCTTACCTGAAGACTAAGATCTTGTCTCTCTTTTGTACGCTTTCCTCAATCAAATGGAAGAGCAGCGTCATCTTGGCAGAATTCTCCAGAAGTCCTGTGCAGTAGTTTGACATTATGCCCTTTGCCTGACACATACAATATGGGGGAAAGAAGAGGCTGTTAAATTAAAAAGAGATTTCAGGGTTGGAGGGATGAAACCCTGCAAAGCCAACAAAGAATACAACACAGCAGAAATATCAGCACAAGTCATATATTGCAACAGTTTTCTATGTGCTTGAGCTTTCAAACAGAGCTGTCAAAACAAGAGGAATCTTTTAGCCGCAGTAATCATTTAGCTAATCTTTACATGGTCTGCCATGACATACCCATTCATATGTGATGACTTGGTTGGCTCTTTCCTGAGAGTGATTGACTAGTGGCAGGGTGTTGTTGACTTTGCTGTTGCTTGAGTCGGCTACTTTGGCTTTGAGGCCAGCACCGGATGCATTGCAACGGGCGTTACTCGCCGAAGTGATGTCGTCCAGGTCCAGGTCCTGCTCGTTGGCCTGATTCTCCTTCTGCAGGGCTTCATAGAGGACGTCTGGGTGATTCCAGATCTGGAGGGATCCAAGTAAAAGAGGAAGGCTTACTTGATGAACCATTAGCACCGTGTTTGTTTGACAACCAAGCAAGTTACAGTTTACGTCGATGTCTGTCTAAAATGTTATACTATCTCATGTATTCCCATGCAAAATGTAAGGCCACAGTGACCTTGACCTTTGACAACCAAAATCTAATCAGTTCATCCTTGAGTTCAATTGGTTTTTCCTCAAGGAATCACTGAGATATGGCGTTCACGACAGAACTGGATTGGCAATTTAGTGTATTTATGGATATAAAAGACAATTCAAGGTATAATATTTTAAGTGTAAAGACTTTTTTTGAACATTGTCCCTCATTGGGCTGGCTCTGCCAAGCAGAGGTTTCTACCAAACAGCAAGGATAACAGTCTCACCTTGCAGCACACACAGAAGGCTTTGAGGGGGTTCAGGCCGAGCCAGCCACTGTTCCCTGCTTCTCGGAAGCGTTTCATGAACTCGTTATACAGCGCCCTCTGAATGGGAGAGAGCCGCACCAACATCACATGCTCCTCCTTGGAGGGGAGCTGGTCTCGGAGCACATCATGACCTCGTCTGTAGCCAAGAAAAGCGCCACATAGAACATTAACAGGTGAGCATCAAACGGGCCACTATACTTTTGTATAAATAAGGTTCAATTTCTTACCTCTGGACAAAACCCTCCAGCAGGCTGTGCAGCACGTGGCTGCGGTAGCGCATCAAGCGTACATCTTGAGGTGTGCTGTCCATGCACTGCCCGTTAAGAATGGGCCGCTCAAACATGTTGCTGAACTCCTGACGTGTTCCCAAAAAGTCGGGCCTAACGAAGTCCACCATGCACCAGTATTCAGTGAGGTTGTTCTGCAATGGGTAACCAGTCAGGACTACTCTGCGCCGGGAGCGGATGTTCTTCAGGGCCTGTGATGTGCTGGCATGGTAGTTTTTAATTCGATGACCCTCGTCACATATGACCACGTCTGGGCCAGGCCGCGCTATGGCCCTTTCAATACCTGAAAAGACAGGGTTTTTAATGGCACACACAGACAACTTTGTTCAGGCCACTGCTTCCCTTTATCCAATGATTTCTGCTGACCTTTCATGAGTTCCTGCTGTCTATCTTCTTCATCCAGGTCGATGATGATTGGTCCTGCTGGCTTCTTTGATTTCCTCTTCTTACCCGTCACAAAACTCTTCTTCATAGATAGCAGGCGGTACATCTCATAACCCATCAGCAACACCCCTCCCTCTCTAGACCAGTCCTCCACAACTTTGGCTCGGGCCATCGTGGTTCTGCAGGTAACACAGTTAGCGTGATTAATATCTCCAATGTTTGACAATTAATGCTTAACCTTACAAAGAACATTGCATGCTACATACTTGTGCTCATCGTTGAGAATGTGGACTCTGAAGGTGCGGCCTGTGATGACTGCAGGGTCAGTGTCCGGGTAAAGAGCTTCTTGTGGTGGGAGCCAGAGGTTAAACTCTGTCAGCCAGTTCTGAAGTGTGTTCACCTTTTACCAAGAAAAAAAAGATGGCTTAAAGGTTATTTTAAATCATAATAACATAGTGAGTTCAGGACATGTGAATGTGTGATCAACAGTATTTATCTTAAGACATTATACACTTTGATTACTCACAGGAACAATGCACAGCACAGTGTGAGCCTCAGTATTCTTCAGTAGGATGTCAGTGAAGGAGATGACCTGCAGTGTCTTGCCCAACCCCATGCTGTGAGCGAGGATGCAGCCAAAGCCACTGCTCGTTTTATACCGCTCCAGGGACTCAATGAGGTTGTCATAGAGAAACCGGATTCCCCCAACCTTAAAAAGGAGAAGACAACTGTTTGAGAAAAAACAGTCTGGATTAGGGGTTTCTGTTACTAGAAACCCCTAATGCAGAAAGCTGCAGCTCATTGAGAACGCCGCTGCTCGAGTCCTGACTAACACTAAGAAAGTGGATCACATCACTCCTGGTCTGAAGTCTTTAAACTGGCTTTCTTTCTGTTAAATAATTGATTTCAAAATACTGTTGCTGGTTTGTAAAGCATTGAATGGTTTAGGCCCAAAATAAATTTCTGACCTCCTGCTAAATTATTAACCATCCAGAACCCTCAGGTCTTCTGGGACTGGTCAGCTTTCTGTCCCCAGAGTCAGAACTAAACATGGAGAAGCAGCGTTAAGTTATTAAGCTCCAAATATCTGGAGCAAACTCCCAGAAACCTGCAGGTCCGCTGCAACTCTTACTACTTTTAAATCCAGGCTAAAGACTTTTCTTTTTGCCGCTGCTTTTAATTGATGTATTCATATATCACACTGCACTGTAACTTTTATTCATGTACCTGTGTTATTCATGGTTTATTATCTTTGCTTTTAAATGAGTGTTTTTAAATGCCGTTTTATAATATGTTTCTGCTGCACTAGTTTTGTAATGCTCTTAATGTCTTTCATTTTTGTAAAGCACTTTGAATTGCCTTGTGTTCAAAGGTGCTATATAAATGAACTTGCCTTGCCTTACTGGGCGTTATTGCTTTGAGAGTTTGAGAAACGACGAGATGGTGGGCATACCTGGTGAGGTTTGACCGCCTTGGCCAGCTGTGGAGCGAGGTAAATGTCTTTCTCCTCTGCAGGGTGACTGATGTTTACCAGCACTTGACCCTGGGCATCAGGCAGATTCAAAACGTCATTGATGTGCGCCCCGCTGCTTTCCTCTGTGGTGCCATCAGCATCCTCATCGGCCGACTCGCTGCTTATCTGCAAGGCGTCTTCATCGCCAGAACTAAGCTCGATTATATCTACATCGTCAAAGGAGATGTGAACACTGTGTGAGAGCATGCTCAATTCTCTTTGTCATGATTGACTTTGAGAAAATAAACATCATTGTTTGACAGAAGTATCATATATTTTACCATCTCTAATGTCAAGTGCAGGCAGCATGGGGTCCTTTATGTCATCCTCATCACCACTGCTGTCCAGACAGATCACATCCTGCTTGCTGAGCAGAGCAGGGACCAAGTGAGATACTTCGTCTAAAATTGAAGCAGTGTCCACTATTGGAAAGATCAGAAGATAACAGGAAACTTCAGGATAAAAAACACAAAACTTGAATCTGAGAATGTGTAGCTTCACTAAAGAGGGATAGTCACCAAGCTGAGCTTCTGGGACAGCTGCTGTAGGGAAGTCCTTTCTCTGCTGCTCCAGACGTTTCCGCCGGTCCATCTCCTCCTGTTGGGCAGCCTTGGTCCCAGCCTCCAACTGATCCTCATTCAGCATCTTTCTGTTAGCATAAGGAACATTTTCAGTATAAATAGCTACATAATGTAATATACCAGAGGCGAAAAACCCCAACAGATCAACGTACCTGATATTCTTCCTCATGTGTACGGGCTTCGATAGCTTTGAAAGTTTGGAGCCTTTTGAGGACTTGGAAGATTTGGATGATTTTGAGGATTTATGTTTCTTTGTTTTGCTGGAAGCTGGCTTGCTCTTGCTTGGGTTTTCTGGGCCTGTCGGAGGCGGAGAGCTAGAGGCAGGTCTGGAGGAGGGTCTGGGGGAGGTTGGGGACGCGGGCTGGGACGGAGGCTCGGGGGACGGCTCTCCGGAGGTAGCTGAAGGGGAGTCCCTGCCATCCTGAGTGGCTTCCGTCCTGCTCTGTGAACTCCCAGGCCGTTCTAGAGACAGAAAATAGACAGTATTTCAGTTGATGTCTTCAAAGACTAACAACAAGCACAAGTGTATTTTCTGTCCTGTATGTGATTACATTAGGTTGTGTACAGGGTTTTTCTTTGGCAGAAAAGAGGGGTGAAATCGTTTTATCCAAAAAGTTCTCTCTGCTCGTTGGATTGGTTTTCTATGACAACAATATCTTGACAACATATACACACTTTAAACGTCATCGTGTGATAGACTAGCATTGCTGCGTTTAAAATGTTTTATGGTCACTCACCGACACCATCATCATCTTCATCGTCTCCATCATTGTCATCCTCATCGTCCTCCAGGTCTTCATTGTCCTCCTCTTCCTCGTTGTCCAAATACTCCAATTCACTGTTAAGGCTGGGCTCCAGGTCACTTTCTGAAACTGCCTCTTCAGACATGGTGTCTTACTAGGCTCTCAAAATATTACTTGCACACCTTCATTAGGTGCCCTAAGAAAAAGAAAAAAACCATCTCATCATAACGTAGGATTCATGTAGTTTCATTGTCAATCAACAATTCAATTTGCCAATGATAATTTCAGTCAATCCACTAATCGATTAACAATTATTCTTTAGCAACAAGACTACAAAAAAGGTCCCAATATTTAGAAATGGTCAGATATGCAATGTATGCTTTATGGTAAACACTAGCTTACTTATTATTTGTATACGGGAAGGAAAGCACCATAGAGTCATACAAATGTGGCAGAGTGAAATATCAGTTACTATTGCCAGTTCATGATGAAATAAAAACAAAGCCAAAAATAAACATAACTCATTTGTATATATGGAGTGAAACAAAGTATCGTACATATGAAATAAATATGTACACGGATGATATGCATGTACAGTATGTGTTCCATCTAAACTTGTAATCAAGCAAGATACATAAAGACATAGTAAAAAAACAAACAGTCAAGCACAAATACTTGTAATTAAACACTTATTTTCTCTAGGAGTAGGTCATAAGGGATTGAGACTCTAAATATCATAGATGGATAGACATGGTGAGACATAATATCCGTCAGCAAAATACATCATAAAAATGTTCACATGGTATTAAAGTAAATCCCTTGTGTGGTATTTAAAAATAAGGCTACTTTAATAAGGCTCCTACTGTCCTCATAGTATGTTTACATTAGCATATGTCAAACACTGAATGTCATACATCTGAATTCACAGTACAGGAATAATTGCGTATGTGATCTTATGAATAGCGTGCAATGTTTAAGTGACCCATAGAAGAGATTTCACCCAAAGGGTTTTGAGCTGAGGATGAATGCAGCTAGCACGAAGCTACCTCTGCAGCATATCCATTGTATCATGTTGATTGTGAATTGACATACTCCAAGCATCCATCGTGGATTGGCGTGAGGAGCTAACTAACCCAATGCATATACATATTAATGATAGTCAGACACAGTGAGCACAACAATATGCTAGCTAATTGCATAACAATAAAGGCTAATTCAAACGCTAATAAACACGTTATTGGTGAACAGTTCACTGTTCACCAATAACAGTGGCAGCAAAACAGGGAGGCTGGTAGTAACTTGGGCAGGGGAAAAAAACAGCTTTCCTTGCAAAAATGACTGTTTTGTGGGCTGTCTTAGAAAGATAACAATCTTATTGTGTAGGGATAACGGTAGCGGTGCTAATGCTAGCCTGAAATACAACAAGGCTTTCCCTGTCGGCTAGGTAGGAAGCGCCAGCTGAACACAAACATCGGTCCGCTGAGGATCTTACCGTGCATGCGGCTGCGCTGCGCTTCTCCAGAAACCTCGCTGTTCAGACAACCACAGACCGATTTAATCCCACAGAACCTATTTAAATGAAATCAACTGATAAACGTTGCTAATTTCCAATTTGTTCCAGTGTAACCAACACTACTGTTCCCGTAGAGGTAGCTCCAACTAAGGTTCCGGGAGTTAAAAAGCCCGATGAAGAACACGGTGTGCTATTACTATTTAACATTCCTAAATAATCCATCATTGCAAAACATTTGACTAACTGTCTCACTATTTTAGCCACATTTTACATTGATAGAATACTTTCTTATATTACATTTAAAAAACAGCACAAACTATCTTTAAAAACACAAAACATTCTGAACATCTGAAAACATTTTTTTTTACAAAATAACCTGATTTTCTGTGTTGTTTTTATTTTATTTTTTTTACTATTTTCTAATATAAATGAGAAAACAGCGTGTTTATTTGTTATTGTGTATGCCCTGACACCAATCCCCGACACTAAATCGTGATTTGATGAATAACTAAAAACATATCTCATCGTTTAACCTACTTTTAATATTTGTGTACACCATTCATTGTTAAAAATAATGTTCCGATGTTATCAGTTTTGTAGTTCTGACTACAGGAAGTTGCAGGGGGGCTGTGTTGTGTGTGACTCCCGTCGTTTCTTGATGACGTAGATTGTAGGCGGCCAATTCTGTCTATTGTGTTTATCTTGAGCTCCACAGTTGTCTCGTGAATGGATACCGGATTATCGTTTAAGGTTGTTATTACCCCTCTCTCGGACATGGACTGGAAAACATCGTAAATAATAGTCTGCTGTGCACACAGAGGAAGATGAACAAAGGCTGGCTGGAGCTGGAGAGTGATCCAGGTGAGACAGCTCGAAACACAGCTAGCTGTCGTTAGCTTCAACACTAAACCAGAGGGACACTTCAGCTTCTTCAACAGCTTCACTGACATTAGAGAACAACTTAAAATGCATTACAAGCTTAAAACATAGTAAAATAAAAGATGTTTGTGTATTGTGTTGTGCATGTTGCTTCACTTTATTGACTTTCCAAAGGATAAATATGAGGAGCAAGTTAACGTTATGAGAACAAATATTAAACTTCACCTTTTATTCGTTTTTGGGGGTTATTCTATGTGACTGAATCCAAATCATTTTCGACTTGTTATTAGAAATCTTTAAGCATTTTGTTTAACCATTTTGTTTCACCATTTTAAGCCATTTTGGTCTACAAAGGGATCCTTAACATTAATATCCAGATAATACAGTATATAATATGTACACATGACTAAATATGTATATGTTCATTTTAATTCATTTCTTATTTTATAGTTATTTACCATTTTTGATTTTATCCTTACTTTTATTAATCTGTGTGAATCTGTGCTGTCCTGTTTTTCAATCGTACCCTGTTGCTGTTAAACTACTGAATTTCCCCACGGGGATTAGTAAAAGTCCATCTTATCTTATCTTATCTTAAAATAAAACAAGTGCACATACGCAGACAAAAGCCTCAATACATACATTACATGTGCACTGTCATGAACGAAGCCATATTCATTATATGAATATATATATTGTCTTGAAGATAAGTAAGACAAATCCACAACAAGATAAAAGAAGATAATGGATCTAGAGTTATTTAACTGGGCAGGTTGTTCCAATCAGATGGAGATTCACATTTTAGGGCTTGTTACCCAGTGTCTTTAGAAATGTCTATTAAACACAGAAAAAGGAGGAAAGTGCCTTAGCTTAGACTAAGACTACACGATTACCTATATGTTTTATGTAAGACGGATCGTCAAAGAAAATGCATTAAAAGAAAAAATACTTTACATTTGTTTTACTCTAAAATAAACAATACAATGTTTTTTTTGATTTCAGGACTCTTCACTTTGCTGGTTGAAGATTTTGGTGAGTAGCTCATTTACAGTAGCCGGATATCTTATGTCGCTTTCATGTGAATAGTCATGTTTACAAGAACTAGTTCCATTCAAGGGGCTATTCAATCCAATTCAAAGGTTTCCCTTTGTGTGGTTGTTTGTGTTTTCCAGGGGTCAAGGGTGTCCAAGTAGAGGAAATCTATGATCTGCAAAGCAAGTGTCCAAGGTATGTTTTCTGTTACCAATCCGTTCTATTCAAATAGGTTTGGTGAAGAGCAACGATTGACAAAAACTGTCCACAGACAGAAAGAGAGACACAAATATAAAAATCTGACATGTAGACATGTGGCTATTCCAAGTTTCATGTCTTGATTTAAACAGCGTTTATCTTCGGACTGTAGCAACACCATGTGAAACGTTTTTTATTTCTTGCAGTCCTGTCTATGGCTTCATCTTCTTGTTCAAGTGGATTGAGGAACGTCGATCCAGGAGGAAAGTTAACACTTTGGTGGATGAGACCTCTGTCATTGACGAGGACATTGTGAATGATATGTTCTTTGCTCACCAGGTAAGTGTTTCCGTGATCATACATGTTGGTAGTTCCTGTTGTTTTTCCTGGTATATGAAGTCTTCTTATTAGTGAGCCACTGGCCTGTATTTGAAATCCTAAAATCTTCAGTATTAGTTCTGCCAATTAAGTAAATGCAAGTAGGGATGTCCCGATCACCTTTTTTTGCTCCCGATCCGATTCCGATCATTTGATTTTGACAATTTGCCGATACAGATTTTTCCCGATCCGATCTTTATGCAATGCATTAAGAGAAAAAAAAAGAAAAAAAGCATTCAAGTTGTCCCTTAAGGTTATTTTTTTAATTTAAATTGGATATTCTATCCAACATGGATATAGCTTCTTTCTTTCACAGCAGCATTGGATCAGTTCAGTTGTGCAGCATTGGATCAAAACAAAATAAAGCTTTCAGTACTCGTTAGCTTACTGCTACAATTAGACACTGCACCCTGCCCACTCTGTTGCCAGATTTGAGAGAAATAAGCAACCAGGTCTATGAAAACAAGCCCCAAAGAAGCAACACATACATGATGTTCTGTCATTTGAAACCAAAAATAAGGCCTCAGAATGACTTTAAGACTTGAACATGGTCATTTTTGTTTTGTAACATTGAATACAAAATTTAAAAAAAAGTATTTATAATAAAAAAAAAATCCCGATCCCCGATTTTTTTCCTCCCGATTCCGATCTTTTGAAAATCACGTGATCGGCTCCGATCCCCGATCACGTGATTGGATCGGGACATCTCTAAATGCAAGTATTATTTTAATAAATCATATGAACATTTTTCTTCAATTTTTGTAGCCGGTTGATCAAGGTTCTTTTGTGAGTTAGGACAAATGTGGAGACAATTGTTATGTAATGTATAACATGTCATAAGTAAATCAAATGTAATGAATGCACAGTGGGATCAAACATCCAAAGTACTGCTAAGACATCCAGGAATTCACAACCCTAACCTATAACGTCATTGATTGTAGCAATGCCCTGTCTCATTGTTAATTACATGCATATTCTTAATTTGACTATTGTTTATTCTTGTCTTTTTTTGTCTAGCTGATACCAAATTCATGTGCCACCCACGCTTTGTTGAGCGTGCTTCTGAACTGCAGTGGCGTTGAGCTCGGCACCACCATTAGTCGCATGAAGGCTTTCACCAAAGGCTTTAGTCCAGAGGTAAGATGTTTCTCACGCCCACTCATAAACAGTATCTGTTATGTTAAGTGTCATTTCATGTGGTGCTTTATATTTAGAGCTTTCAGCTCTCGGATTTGTTTTGGATTTTACTGTTATTCCTAAAAGTAAGTTGACAAACCACAACTTAATATACAGTATTATAGGAACAGAGTCAATTCTATGACCAAAAATATCTTGTTAAATACATTTACCTAGTTTCTGAATCTCTCAACAATTTAAATCACTCTTGTTAAAATATTCCTTCTTTCTCAATTTCAAAGGTCTTGACTGGCATGACCGTTTTTCAACTTTTGCTCTCTCCACCTCTTCTTCCTACTCTCCTACTGTCATGTTTAACTTTATATTTCTTTTTGCAGAGTAAAGGCTACGCAATTGGAAATGCCCCAGAGCTTGCCAGAGCACATAACAGCCATGCCAGGTAGGTCAGGTCTCAGTCAGAGGTTCCTTTTGAAATGTTCAGGTGTCGCTGATTGTGTGAGAGAGAAAAATGGCCTGTGATTGGTCTACCATACTGTGGAAGATGTGTCAGTTTCTTAAGCTCTCTTTCTGTGTTTCTATGGAGACCGGAGCCCAGGCACTTACCGGAGAAACAGAATGGGATCAGTGCAGTGCGGACCATGGAGGCCTTCCACTTCGTTAGCTATGTGCCCATCAAAGACCGCCTCTTTGAGCTTGATGGACTAAAAGCTTACCCCATTGATCACGGTGAGAGTAAACAGTGACAGAAATACAGAAGTCCTGTTCTTTTCACACTGATTTAAAGCAGTTTAGCTGCAGTGGAACCACTGAATGTTGTATTAAAAGGTATGCATATGGTTTAAACAGAATTTCCTAGAATAATTTGTCCGATTAATTCTCTAAAAAAAGTATTTACTTCACTTATTTTTGTTTTATCATAATTTAAACCACGTCAGTATCCAAAAAATAAGGACTAATTCCTCACTGGATAAAACAGCTTTATGACAAATCTGCTATAAAATATGTTAATACATTTAATGTTTGGGATTTTGCTTCCTAAAGTTAGTATAATATTTCTCTCTGTTGTAGGGCCCTGGGGAGAGGAGGAGGAATGGACCGATAAAGCTCGGCGGGTCATCATGGAGAGGATTGGACTGGCCACTGCCGGGTGAGTCCAGAGCCCGTTAGCCGAGCAGTGATTATTCACCTTCTACACACACCTCCAGGGCTTCATTCTCATGCTGCTGCTCTGCTCTTTCTCAGTGAGCCGTACCATGACATTCGCTTCAACCTGATGGCAGTGGTGCCTGACCGCAGGATGAAGTACGAGTCCAAACTTGAAATTCTTAAGAGGAATCGACAGACTGTTCTGGAGGGTCTGCAGAAGGTCAGGGACTGCTGCAAGTCTCATCAGAGGCTAACATGAATAAACTTGGATGTATTGTTATAACCTCTGCTTTAGCATGTCGTATTTGACACTTTTTTTAAAGTCCTAATTTAATGTTCCTAATATTCTTTGTCTTTGTCCAAGTGATACTCTGTAAAGGCGGTATGTGGGCTAGCAGGAGCTCCTCTGTCATGTCTACTGACCTTGTTGAATATGTTTAAAATGTATTTCGTATGTTGTCTTCAGATGATCCGGCTCAATCAGCCTGATCTTGCACAAGACAAGAAGCAGCAGGACGACGATGGCACCGCTGCGATCAAGAAAGAGTCAGATGCAGAGCCAGTAACATCCCAGGGGGCTGATCCGGGTACTTATATCCGCTTTATTCCCCGAGTGTTTGTTAAAGCACATCTTGTAAATGGTGTAGGGGCTCATTATAAACATTCAACTGTAAAACAATTACCCTCATTTTAGATTCAGTTAATGAGTCTGGAGCTCGGTCTAAAGATGCTGCTAACCCTTCAGGAACCGCTAAGGTCATGGGTAAACCTGCAGCCCCCTCAGGAGGAGGGGTCACCAGTCCCAACCCCGTCGCTCAGCGGCTGCCGGCCTTCCTGGACAACCACAACTATGCCAAGTCTCCAATGCAGGTGAGAGGACGGGAGCATCGTATACGATACGATAATACTTTAATGGTCAGATAAAGTCTGAAATGTGACCTGCATCACAGCAGCTCCATGTGTAACATCAACATGGACAAATATCAAGACACAATACATGACTTTTTTTTTTAACATAACAGCACAATCACTGAGAGAAAACATGCTCAAAGACCCTTTAGCGTGCATTTGCTCTGTATTTACTGTGAGGGTTGACTGATGCACAAAGGATGCTTCAGTCTGACTTTATTGTATGGCGGGACCCCGTATCTCCGATTCAAAGGTAGCAGTTCATATTCGCTGTTCAGAACATGGTTTGGGTCAGAGATGATGTTGCTGGACAGCCTTATTAGGTTGTTATGATAGGCTGAGTCCTAAAGTCTCTGACGGGGTTAACCAACAATCTTTGAGCAGGTTTGTAACTGGTGTTGTTCACTTTCTCCACCAATATAGGCCTCTAAAGATCTTTTTCAGACGCTTTGGTCCTAATGTGCACTTAGGGTTTCAGAGCTGCAACTAATGATTATTTTCATCATCAGTTATAATACCAATTATCTTTCTCATTATTGCTGCTTCACAAGATCCGGAAAATAGGGGAGACAAATGTTCATCATAAGTCCCCAGAGTATTCATTCGGTTTTGCTTTGAAATTAATTAGATTTTGGAATAGTTGCTGATTATTTATCTTTTGATTTCCCCAATTTACTAAATATTTTTAGCTCTTGTTGAGTGCTGGACCAACAGCAGTTTTTTTTAAAAATATGTATTTCACATTGCCCTGTATCATTTCTAAAGAAAAATACATGATTTAAATATTTGCATTTTATTACATTACATGTCACTTGTTAGACGCTTTTACCCAAAGCGACTTACATGCACTTAATACAGTGGGCAATCCCTACAGGAGTGAAGTGTCTTTCCCAAGCACACAACGACATGGGGATTGAACCAGTAACCCCCTTGATCTGAAGACCAGTGCACTAAGCCACTGAGCCATACACTCCTCCTGAGATCTTTCTAGTCTTGTCAAGACAACTCAATGGAATGTATCGAGGCTTTAATGTTCACAGCATACGACACCCTATCTCCGCTCGCTATAACAGGCAGGTGTTACATTGTTATGTGAGAAGATTACTATTCCACACTCCGAACAGCTCCGGAAGTCACACATTTCTTTCTGTCTCTCAGATCTGACCTAGGGACAGTCACTGCGTGTGTTGCTTCTCTCACTTCTGTATGAATAAAGAATGATTCTCCCTATCCAGCTTTCTGAGGCTCAATCACTCTCCATTGCTCATTAAAGTTACAAGTTAAGTTAAAGCCTTTTATTGTCATTGCAGTGTTTCCCCTAGGTGTACTGCCCTGGGGGGGTGCTGCCTGAGCGGGGGNAGTCAGAGGTTAAGAGCCACATTTTGTCTATGTTACTGCAAAGAGCCACATCAAACACACAGTCACTGATACTGCTTGTTTCAGTTTTTTGTTTTCTGGAGACAAGATTTCAACCACGTCACTGATGCATTTTTGTGGCATTGGGATATATGTTTTTTAAATCCTCTGGAGCAGAGAGAGGAGCTGTGGATTATTGTTATTGATTAATGCATCAGTGTTTCTTAGGGTCAAAAACACTAAACTCACAACTTAAAATGAAAGCGTTTAGTTTATTTACCGTAATTTTCGGACTATAAGCCGCGCCTTTTTCCCTATTTTTCGACGCTGCGGCTTATATAACGGTGCTGCTAATCTATGGATTTTACAGCTAACGGCCAACACCTTTAACTCTATGAGCTCTATGGCCGGTCCGCGGACCCCCACCTTTAAGCGGCGGGTTCCAGCAGGAAAAGCTGGAGGCCGGAAAAGAGTGAGACAGGTAGCGCGCAAAAGTAAAAGTGGAACCGAGAGTGGTATGCCGCTGCTGCGGCTTATATTCAGGTGCGGCTTATAGTCCGAAAATTACGGTAATAAAAGAGCACATGTTCAATGTGAAAAGTGACAGTAGTTATAGATAGGGATGTCCCGATCACCTTTTTTTGCTCCCGATCCGATTCCGATCATTTGATTTTGACAATTTGCCGATACCGATTTTTCCCGATCCGATCTTTATGCAATGCATTAAGAGGAAAAAAAGCATTCAAGGTGTCCCTTAAGGTTATTTTTTTATTTA